AATTCGGGTTTCTCCTTTATCTTGTAGGAACGCGGGATATATCTTATGGATTGAATGGAATTTTATGCAAACACCTGTGTTGAAGGGTTGTGAGAAAGAAGTGATGTGTAGCTTATCCAATAGAGTGTAAGCAGCATTACCCAGACCTAATTTTTCTTATGTCTGGGAAGTTTTTTTGAGTGGGGTTTTATATTAATTTCGGGTGTCTTCCTTTATCTTGTAGGGAACGGGGGTATATATTCTTATGGATTGAATGGATTTTTATGCAAACATCTGTGTCAAAGGATTGTAAGAAAGAAGTCATGTGTAGCTTATCCAATAGAGTGTAAGCAGCATTACCCAGACCTATTTTTTCTTATGTCTGGGAAGTTTTTTGAGTGGGGTTTTATGTTAATTTCGGGTTTCTTCCTTTATCTTGTAGGGAACGGGGGTATATATTATGGATTGAATGGAATTTTATGCAAACACCTGTGTTAAAGGATTGTAAGAAAGAAGTCATGTGTAGCTTATCCAATAGAGTGTAAGCAGCATTACCCAGACCTATTTTTTCTTATGTCTGGGAAGTTGTTTGTTTCGGGTTTCTTCCTTTATCTTGTAGGGAACGGGGGCATATATTCTTATGGATTGAATGGAATTTTATGCAAACACCTGTGTTGAAGGGTTGTGAGAAAGAAGTGATGTGTAGCTTATCCAATAGAGTGTAAGCAGCATTACCCAGACCTAATGTTTCTTATGTCTGGGAAGTTTTTTTGAGTGGGGTTTTATATTAATTTCGGGTGTCTTCCTTTATCTTGTAGGGAACGGGGGTATATATTCTTATGGATTGAATGGATTTTTATGCAAACATCTGTGTCAAAGGATTGTAAGAAAGAAGTCATGTGTAGCTTAGCTAATAGAGTGTAAGCAGCATTACCCAGACCTGTTTTTTCTTAGGTCTGGGTAGTTTTTTGAGTGAGGTTTTATGTTAATTTCGGGTGTCTTCCTTTATCTTGTAGGGAACGGGGGCATATATTCTTATGGATTGAATGGAATTTTATGCAAACACCTGTGTTAAAGGATTGTAAGAAAGAAGTCATGTGTAGCTTATCCAATAGAGTGTAAGCAGCATTACCCAGACCTATTTTTTCTTATGTCTGGGAAGTTTTTTGAGTGGGGTTTTATGTTAATTTCGGGTTTCTTCCTTTATCTTGTAGGGAACGGGGGTATATTATGGATTGAATGGAATTTTATGCAAACATCTGTGTTAAAGGGTTGTGAGAAAGAAACCATGTGCAGCTTAGCCAATAGAGTGTAAGCAGCGTTACCCAGACCTAATTTTTCTTAGGTCTGGGTAGTTTTTTGAGTGGGGTTTTATGTTAATTTCGGGTTTCTTCCTTTATCTTGTAGGGAACGGGAGCATATATTCTTATGAATTGAATGGAATTTTATGCAAACATCTGTGTTAAAGGGTTGTGAGAAAGAAGTCATGTGCAGCTTAGCCAATAGAGTGTAAGCAGCGTTACCCAGACCTAATTTTTCTTAGGTCTGGGTAGTTTTTTGAGTGAGGTTTTATGTTAATTTCGGGTGTCTTCCTTTATCTTGTAGGGAACGGGGGCATATATTCTTATGGATTGAATGGAATTTTATGCAAACACCTGTGTTAAAGGATTGTAAGAAAGAAGTCATGTGTAGCTTATCCAATAGAGTGTAAGCAGCATTACCCAGACCTAATTTTTCTTATGTCTGGGAAGTTTTTTGAGTGGGGTTTTATGTTAATTTCGGGTTTCTTCCTTTATCTTGTAGGGAACGGGGGCATATATTCTTATGGATTGAATGGAATTTTATGCAAACATCTGTGTTAAAGGGTTGTGAGAAAGAAGCCATGTGCAACCTAGTCAATAGAGTGTAAGCAGTATTATCCAGATGTATTTTTTCTTAGGTCTGGCTATTTTTTTAAGTGAAGTTTGAAGCTAATTTAGTGTTTCTTCCTTTATCTTGTAGGGAACGGGGGTATATATTCTTATGGATTGAATGGATTTTTATGCAAACATCTGTGTTAAAGGATTGTAAGAAATAAGTCATGTGTAGCTTATCCAATAGAGTGTAAGCAGCATTACCCAGACCTAATTCTTCTTAGGTCTGGGTAGTTTTTTGATTGGGGTTTTATGTTAATTTCGGGTTTCTTCCTTTATCTTGTAGGGAACGGGAGCATATATTCTTTTGGATTGAATGGAATTTTATGCAAACACCTGTGTTAAAGGGTTGTGAGAAAGAAGTGATGTGTAGCTTATCCAATAGAGTGTAAGCAGCATTACCCAGACCTAATTTGTCTTAGGTCTGGGTAGTTTTTTGAGTGGGGTTTTATGTTAATTTCGGGTTTCTTCCTTTATCTTGTAGGGAACGGGAGCATATATTCTTATGGATTGAATGGAATTTTATGCAAACATCTGTGTTAAAGGGTTGTGAGAAAGAAGTGATGTGTAGCTTATCCAATAGAGTGTAAGCAGCATTACCCAGACCTAATTTTTCTTAGGTCTGGCTAATTTTTTAAGTGAAGTTTGGAGCTAATTTAGGGTTTCTTCCTTTATCTTGTAGGGAACGGGGGCATATATTCTTAGGAATTGAATGGAATTTTATGCAAACGTCTGTGTTAAAGGGTTGTGAGAAAGAAGTCATGTGCAGCTTTGCTAATAGAGTGTAAGCAGTGTTACCCACACCTAATTTTTCTTAGGTCTGGGTAGTTTTTTGAGTGAGGTTTTATGTTAATTTCGGGTGTGTTCCTTTATCTTGTAGGGAACGGGGGCATATATTCTTATGAATTGAATGGAATTTTATGCAAACACCTGTGTTAAAGGATTGTAAGAAAGAAGTCATGTGTAGCTTATCCAATAGAGTGCAAGCAGCATTACCCAGACCTAATTTTTCTTATGTCTGGGAAGTTTTTTGAGTGGGGTTTTATGTTAATTTCGGGTTTCTTCCTTTATCTTGTAGGGAACGGGGGCATATATTATGGATTGAATGGAATTTTATGCAAACATCTGTGTTAAAGGGTTGTGAGAAAGAAGCCATGTGCAACCTAGTCAATAGAGTGTAAGCAGTATTATCCAGATGTAATTTTTCCTAGGTCTGGCTAATTTTTTAAGGGGTTTCTTCCTTTATCTTGTAGGGAACGGGGGTATATATTCTTATGGATTGAATGGAATTTTATGCAAACATCTGTGTTAAAGGATTGTAAGAAAGAAGTCATGTGTAGCTTAGCTAATAGAGTGCAAGCAGCATTACCCAGACCTAATTTTTTCTTAGGTCTGGGTAGTTTTTTGAGTGAGGTTTTATGTTAATTTCGGGTGTCTTCCTTTATCTTGTAGGGACCTAACACTACATACAAATAACTAACATTATCGCGAAACCGAGCCAGCAAAGAATATAAATTCAGATGCAATGTGTGCAGAGAATTTTGTACGGGGCTTAAGTTACGTATGTATCCCAAAAAAACTGTTCCATACAGCCACTCAACCACTCAGCCACTCTGCCAGAGGAGCTGAACCAGCCACTCAGCCACTCTGCCAGAGTGGCTGGACCAGCCACTCAGCCACTCAGAGTGGCCGGACCAGCCACTCAGCCATTCAGCCACTCTCCCAAGAGTGGCTGGACCAGCCACTCAGCCACTCAGCCACTCTGCCAGAGTGGCTGGACCAGCCACTCAGCCACTCAGCCTGGACCAGCCGCCACTCAGCCACTCAGCCACTCAGCCACTCTCCCAGAGTGGCTGGAGCAGCCACTCAGCCACTCAGCCACTCCTCCCTTTGGACCTGGACCAGCCACTTCAGCTTTCACTCTCAATTCTAGCCAGAGTGGCTGCAGACTCAGCCACTCAGCCACTCTGCCCAGTCGCTCAGCCACTCAGAGCCACTCAGCCACTCTGCCAGAGTGGCTGACTGAGAGTGGGCTGAGTCCAGTGGCCCAGCCACTCTGGGAGAGTGGCTGAGTGGCTGAGTGGCTGGGGTGATAATTTCCGCCATTGCGCGTTCAATCTACATTTCTTGTTTCCAAGCATTCAGAATATCTCAAAAGTCTGAGTGTTCGTTTGAGCTCAAGCACACAAATTCCTTTGCTTGTGATCGCTCTCTTTGCTTCCCATTTCAAAACATTAACAGCAGTCTTGACATGAGGGAATAACATGGAATAACTGTAAGCAGACTTTCCAGATCTTCCAGATGCTTTTGAGTGTCAGGCCTTGGAGAGATCCCTGATTTCATTCTTGGCCAGCCACTTTTAGAGGCAAGGAACAACTCCATGGTGTGGTCAGTAGATTCAGCTACTTGGAGCAATGTACCAACAGTTTGTCTGCCGAAACTGCAGGCATACTACACAGTTTTCGACAAGGAGCAGCAGAAAATAGGCTTTGCACCTTTGAAGGGTTGCTAAGACCTCACGGGTTTGGAAGAGACGAGCAGGTTGTTTGTCAGCCGCTTAATGGAAATTCAATGTTTGAGTTTGCGTGTTTGCCAAGCTACTCTGAGAGTCTTTCTCCCTTTCTCCCTCAAATAGTTTGATAATTTCGGCCACCAAAGTGCGGTCAACAAAGCCCAAACGGGTTCACAACATAGATTGCCATGGTGCTGCACGGCAGCGCCCAAGCAAAGGGCAACGTGAAGATAATGACTCTACCTGCCTAGAAAGCAGGTGTTGCCATCGCAAAACCAGTGATGCAACAGAAGAGCGATCAACCACGCTGCTTTTTCGCCATTCACACGCATCATGTATCATCATGTATCATCATGTATCATGTCATGTACTGTGATACGCTACAATGCACTCCAGCTCACTGATTTAATTTAGGGTCAGGGCGGCAGCTTGCTTTCACTAACTTCCCTGTCGCGATCGGAATCCGTGAGATCATCTCGCTGCCTGTCACACCTTGCAGTTGCATCCTGCACTATCTGGCACTATCCGGCACTCTAGGGCTCAGTGCCCCTCCCGTTTCAACGTCAGCGCCGACGTCGGTGTGACACGTACCGGACATGGCTCTGAACCTAGCCGGCCTAGCCCATGCCAAAAGAGACAGTGCAGAATCAGAAGACACCCAGGATTGTGGTGCTGACTACTGGGTGATGCTACTAGATGAGCGTGACTTGATATGAGCAGCTCGACTAGATGCAAGTATGGACTTATTTTTGTCGCCAAGGCCTTCACAGGCCTTCTTGTTTTGCTGTCATCTACACTGGCAACAGGCGCTTGACCGAAAGTAGGATCGTTGCACAAAGGACGCATGAGGCGTGCATTTGCCGATCTTTACAGATGAGTCACACGTCACACATCACACGTCTTTTCCAGGCATTCATCAGGCATCTCCATGGGAGCTTCGCTTGGCGTGAGGGGAACCCAGCTCCAGCGGGATCCAGGGAACATGTCGAAACATTTCAAAGCTTTGCTGTGGGAAGAGCTTGCAACAGGGCCTTCAATGATATCCTGCATCTGGGACGACGCTCTACGCTTTTGTTGGGTGCTCGGACATTGGCCGAGACAGGTTCAGATGGTATCTTGAGGTAAGATCCCTACCCTCTTAAAAGTAGAATTTGAGGGGGGGGAGTCGTACTGAAATTTCATTTTAAAATTCCATTTTTGCAATCATGCTTTCTCAATGATCAATATTCCTCATCATTCCATGTCATTGGCAAGCAGATGAACATTAAATACTTGCGCTTAGCTCCGGAGGAGCCAAGCACATATCAGACTGAAGCAGCACATGTGTAGGGATGGCATCCCTCCAAAAATTGCGCTGCCGTCATCATACTTGCGCTTAGCTCCTCCGGAGCTAAGCGCAAGTATTTTCTAACCAGTGCCCAAGGCTTGTTAAGAATTTGAGGGGTTGGATCACTATCCCAGGGTTTCCAAGCAAAAAAAAAGTGGAATTCGACAGGTTGGTTTTGTCCCCCCCGCCCTCCCCCTCTAGAGGGGTAGGGATGAGGTAAGTATCTTCCAAAGACTAAGTATTTTAAAGCGAGGATGGGACACCACCCGATGTTTGCAGTCAAAGGACTGAGGGATGCAAGGGATAGTCACAATGAGAAACATGTCGAAAGCATTTCCCCAGCACAAGCAAATTTGCGGTCAGAGGCAGTCGGTACTTGAAGCCAAGGCAACGCAGCTCTTTCGTGAAAAATCTGGACTACAAGATCAAGTTGAGGGTGCCCTGTATGAATATTCAAGAGACATGACAGTGACCTCTGACAGTGACCTTTGACAGTGACCTCTGACAGTGACCTCTGATTCAATATGATTCGTTCATATTCATTCATGTTTTCTGGAGATTTGCATAAGTTTGCTGTGCAGTCCCAATGTCCACGAGAATCGCAGGTTTGCAGCGCATATCCAGCCGACGCCCCCTTCGAGGTTCTGCTGAATGAGGCGTTTAGAAGCCAATGTGCAGAGCATGCTGAGCCAATCCGGAAACTACTGAAATGATAAGGGATGATAAGATTGATAAGGGAATTTGTTTCAACAGCGAAGTTTTCTGCCCATTGTCAAGTTCGGGCGGTTTTCAATAAATCATGTTCCTCGGCATAGTTGGTAACCACATCATCTGACGGAGTCTTTGGCATTTTTCCCTGGCTGCATTCAGCCAGTATTTGTCTACCTCAAAAAGAGTTTTGCAGGTTCCTATCAAGGAAGAGCTAGAGCCAGTTGCCCAGTTGGCTGATGGAACAAGATGGGACAACACCTCCCCGACCCAACATCTTTATAGGTTCAAGAAAGCATCGATAGACAGATTGTGTGTATTTCATGTCCTATCACTTCTGCTTTTCATTGGTAGTTGCTGGCCGCTGAAAGGTACAAGTCCTGCTTTGAGTACACAGGCGACTTGCGCTCTGGAGACAATGTGAACTTCAAGGCCGACAGTTGAATTGGAGAGTTGAGAGAATGATGACGACACAGTCAGCAAAAGCATCGCAGACGGCACGGGTTTGATCCGTCCGCCGCAGGTTGCAGGACTTGCGTCAGGATCCTTCACCATTGATGAACTCCCACAGGAGGATGCAACACTTGTTTTGGCCTGATTCTCAGGGCCTGCGAAGTACAAGTTTTTTTGATGTTTGTTGAAGCTTTGTTTATTCTTTGTTTATATTGCTTAAATGGTGACGCAGTGTAAGGGTCCGAGGCCGTCTCGGTCAAATGGCCCTAGCTTGGCTGAGTCTTACCTCAGATCTTGTGTTTCAAGGTGGTACACCGCCACGACAAGGCACCCACGATTCACGGGCTGTCTCTTTCATGGCAACCATGGCTGTCTCTTGCGCAATACAAGTGAAAACAAATTGTCTTCGTCACACAGCAAATTCTTCTTCAGGCAACCATGGCTGTCTCTTTCATGCAAAGCGCTTACGACTAGAAAGTGCTCCATTTTCGTATTCCCTGCTGCTATTCTTGCCTTCCGGCAATGATATCTCACCGGATAAGTCTCAGGTCGCATGTGTTTGCAAAGCTCTCTGGCCCACAAGTTGCATTGCTTGATGCCTACCAGGCGCACAGAAGTGGATCTTTGACACAGCTCCAAGCTATGCAGTGTGTCTCAAATGAATGTAGTCCATGCAGTCCATGCAGGGCTCCTCATCATCAGTGGTGGAGATACAGCCCAAGGTCCTCAGAGAGTTTGTTCCTGGAGATGCACATGCTGGGCATGTCCATATCTTTCCATACTCTGGCAGGACGACGACGAGAGCAAAACCGAGACGTTGAGGCTCCGTCCGTTTGTCGGAATTCCATGGAATTCCGTCCAAGACTGTGGAAATCCGGAAAGACTGGGCAAACCTAGGATTGATTCGGACGGGGGGACAGGTACAACTCTGTCATGGCCCTGGATGAGGCTACTTACAAGGCTCGAATGATTCTGTTCTTTGCCTGGCACGGAATTCTACAAGGATGGATTGACTTTAATTACAAGGTGACGCTCGCCATGGGAGATAGAAAGCAGGAGGCAGAGAGAACGCTGGGTTGATGTCAACAGGGCCGTTGTATGAACTGTGTATTGATATACTGTATCATATTATTATATAATATTATATAATATTATATATAATATAATATATATAATTATTATATTGATACACTGTATCATATTATTATATAATATTGTATATATATATATAATTATTATATAATATTACATATATATAATTATTATATAATATTATATTAATATATAATATATACTATATCAATCTATATCATATTATCATTATATAACATCATTCACCCTTACGCACCAAGTATTACGTACCAGCATTACAGAGGTCCCTTCTGGATTTTGTCGTGATAGTATGTCGTGATCGCCGTTGTATTGTGTGATCAGTACGAGTTGGATGCGCAGCTTGCAACTCAGTGGCTGTGATGCTGTGGGAAGCATTGGAGCGTTGAAACTGGATTTGGTCCCCCTTTGTTGAGGTCCGACGAAGCTTATGCTATCATTCGTTGTGGTGAGCTCCTCGAATTTTGAATATGAATATGTATGAACATGCATAATAAAATCTTAATGAACGTACGCTGACAGAAGGGGAAGCAATATATCCTCCTCGGATGTGCTGAGCGAGGTGTCGATTCAGAGATCCTGAAGAGCTACAAGCAGGACCTAGATACATTGAGATGTTAGATATTGCATGATATCACTGATTAAATACTGATTATGCATTCATGTTGCAAGTTTTTAAGTACCTGGAAAGTAGTAAGAGTTCCATGGCTGAGCAAGTCATAGCATGCCTGAAGAGATGAGCCGAGCCGCAGCTGAAACTGGGTTCATGCAACCGGGGCTTCCAAAAGGTGGGATTTGCTGCTTATGGCAGATTGGAAATGATTGGAACATTGGAACGCACAGCAAGTCTTGTGAGATCGTAAAGATTCGAGTGTTTTGGCTCAGTCGGCTTGCTGGTGTAGAGGAAGCTTGGTAAATGCCGAGCACCTGACACTTTGTTTCATCCACCGCCACGCACCGTATGGGACACAGCCACGGCTGACCGTCAAAGATTGTCCAAAAACGACGCCAGCAACAGGCTTGCATCATCACTACGTCTCTACTACCCCTCTTCTCAAGGTGCTTCCTCCAATGTCCGTTCAGCGCATGCTGTGCCTATATGGCACAAACGCGCAGAAGGAGAAGATCCGAGCTGCTCGCAGTCAAAGTACCCTTGAAGCTCCGTGGAAGTCACGCGTGAAGCGACGTGAATTCAAGCACAAGCAGGTGCATGGAGACGTCGACAGTTTAGATGTAGGACTCCACTTGACATTTCAAGTTCTTGGTACGCTCTGGCTGCAAGAAGCACTGGGTTGCCGAAGACTTCCTTTTGCTTTGTCCAAAGAATACTGCGAAGGCTTGACTATCTTGAATCAAAGACTTCAGTTGTCTGACTCTACAGGCGATGATTTCAATGTGGCAAACGAGACCCTTCCGCAGCTTTGCTTCAAGTGCTCGGTTGAGGATAGATTGAACAAGGCAATGAGATATTTGAAGTTGGCTCACCGTGAGGTCGAAAGGCAGAACGAAGCTTTGGCGGAGCAATATGCTTTGGCAAAGGAGCGCAGAGAGAGTGCCCAGTCCAGCGCGCAGCTTGCAGCGAAGTTGGGACTCGCTGACGACCAGAATGATAGAGAAGTCAATGGAAAAGAAAAGGAGCAAAAGGAGCAAAAGGAGCAAAAGGAGCAAAAGGAGCAAAAGGAGCAAAAGGAGCAAAAGGAGCAAAAGGAGCAAAGAGTTTGTCATTGTCAAAGAGAACAAAAGGAGACAGAGCAAACGCTTTTTGGTTCCAAACGGAGCTCCCAGAAAAGTCTCGTTCATGGAGCCACCTAGGAAGCCTTTTGAATTTGGTAGGCGCAAGCAGGCTAAAACAGCCGCTTGTTACAACCCCCTTTCGGGGAGCCAGGCCAAACTATTTTGTAGGCAAAGCTGCAGAATGCTTGGAACACCTTCCTGAATGAGTTGGAGGAAAAGACGGGACGCCAAAACAGCACGGGTACTGTAGCTGGTGCAAAGAGCTATTTTCCATCATTTTTCCCATTATTTTCCGAGGTTTTTGCTTCGATGTCCCAAAGTTTAAACTGGAATTCTTGGGTTCAAGAAGAGAATTCCAGAGAGGCAACTGAGGTAATTGAGGTAATATGATGCAATAATATGCAATATCAAATCTTGATTTGTGTAGGAGCTGATGGTGTATCCGACCAACGAGAAGACAGCGGGATCACCCAGAGCGCCCAGGGGAGACGCCTGCGGAACCATGGAAAATGATGTGAGAACACCCCATATGAGGTGTGCAGACATGTAAGACACGGTGTTCACATCGAGCGACACAGAAATTGGATTGTTGCTCATCTCCGAGGCAGAGGAAAAGCTGGACAAGGCCGGCTTTGAATTTGCCTTCATATGATTCATATGAATACCAGTAGGACCGCGCAAGGCGGTGGAGGAAGTTTCAAAGATAGGAAACCTGTAGGAGAGTTTGGTTGTTGTGATGCATGGATGGCATAGGGAACCCACTGATGGATCGAAAGGTGGTTGAGGCTCTGATTTTTTGTTGTCTCTCTCTCTCTCTCTCCGTCTTTTCGTCTTTCCATCTTTCCAAATTTCTATCGATCTATCTATCTATCTCTTTGTCCAATCTATCTGTCTATCTATCTGTCTGTCTGTCTAAAGTATGGTGCCTGCCACGAAAAAGAGATGCCAGGTCATACGAAGTGGTGCACCTGTCACCAAAAGTCACCTTAGGAAACCTCATGATCTCATGCTCCAAAATGCAGCCTTCCTCAGGAATCCTCAGGAAATCAGCGCCCTGACCTCTGAACATGTCTGCCTCTTGTACTGCGCCTGCCACGCAAAATACATCTCTGCAGATCCTCTTCAAACGTCCCACGCCTGCCATCGTTTTTGCAACTGGTGCAAAACCCACAAGTTTGACTCGCTTTTAAGAAAGTGCAGAATCCATTGCGTCTGCCACGCCAAAACGGATCCTAGCCTCAAAAAGTGCTCCGAGACCGCCCGTTTTTAACCCTTTTCGCTTCGAAATGTGCTTCGCACCACAGCGGCGCACTTTTTGAACACCTGAACTTCCAAAAGCGCTCCGAACCCAAGGTGTCTTTAGCATTTTGAGTTGGAAATGTGCTTCGGGCCACAGCGGCGTGCGCTTCGGGCCACAGCGGCGTGCGCTTCTTCCACGTCTCAACTTCCAAAAGTGCTCCGAGACCGAGGTGTTTTTAGCATTTTGGCTTCAAAATGTGCTTCGCGCCACAGCAGCCTGCAATTTTTGATTTCTCATCTGCCCAGGCGACGCCGCTACCTTTTCGCGCGCGTTGATCTTTCCCTGCTCTGACTCTTTCTCTTCTCTGATCTTCTTTCTTCTTCCTTCCTCTTCTCTGACTCTTCCCACCTCTGCTTTTCCATCCCTCCATATTGACGGAAATTTGACTTCAAACTTCCTTCGACGATATAATAATATGTTGATCTGTGTATTTGTCATGATTTGTCGTTGTAAGTCAGTAGTGGCATCAACACTGACACTTTCGCTTCTGGGCACAGACATGTCTCTTTCACTAGCTAGCCATTTCAATCCATGCGGCCAGACTCCTGTTTTCTTTCGTCCCAGGCAGCCGCAAATCAATTTGCCCGCAGCATAGAGTTGAAATTCCCGCGCAGCTTTGAAGCCTTTGCATTGTCATGGTGTTGCAGCATGTTGCAGCTGAGGTGCTTTCATTCAGCGTAATGGCTCTATTTGTCGGAGCTCTGGTATGCTGATGATGAGTCCAAAAAAGCGTGGCAGATATTGCAGAGAAATTGCGGCTCTTGATTCATTCGTGCAGAGTGTATAGATTCAAACCTGTGCGAAACATCGGCATTTTGAGCTTGACAACTCAGTGTAGCTGTAAGGCTCAAAGTGATCGTAGTTCAACATGTCAGGCCAGCCTGAGACAGCCTCGGGTTCCAAGGCAGCACCAAAGAGTTCTGAAATTTCGGAACGTAGCCGTGCAGCCTCAGCTCTGCTGGCAAAGATCACAGCTGATAGTCAAGGTGCGAATCTGTCAGATTCCAAGGTAACAGAGTTCTTTCGCAATGAGTTGTGGGGAGCTACGGCAAAGGCACCGAGAGCATTTGAAGAGACTGTCATGGACAAGGCTGTAGATTTGGTGGCGCCATCAAGCAGTGCCGCAACACTACATCCCAAGCCATCAGGAGTGAATGCAGTGGAGGAGCCCAGTCCAGAAGCTGCACCGGTGACACCGAAACGTGCCCCGCGCGCGCCGCAAGCTACGACAACTCCTTCACCAGTCAGCAGACCGCCAAAGTCACAGGCAGCTGAAGAAGGGAAAAAGAAGGCTCCTGCAAAAGCACCAGCCGCCCCAGTTACTGCACGGGCCAAGTCTTCTTCCCCACAGCCATTGCCTGCTATTTTGAAGCGAACTAGCCCAAAGCCAGCGGCAAAGAGCAAGGTGTCAAAGACCAAGACAATCAAGGGTCCAAAGACCAAGAAAGACAAGAAGGACAGCATGGCTTTGGTGGCAACTTCTGGCTTGCGCCAATCAAATCGGAGAACACTTGCCACCTTGCGAGCACCAGCATTGACCCAAGTCCCTGCTGAGGTCTTCAAAGGCTTGGAGTCGCCTGCAAAACGCCCCAAGCGGTGTCGCATGCCACCACTCCAAAGTTGGCGAAATGAGCGCCTTGTCTTCGAGAGAGTGGCAGGTTCCATGACACCAACGCTTGCTGCTGTCGAGCTCAACATGTCTGCACCGCTCGAAGAGAGCTCACCCCCACGGATGCTTCAGCTTCCTGCCCTTCAGCCTCCGTTGGAAAGTATGGAAGCCTCAGAGTTTGTTGGTATCTCCACCAAGATCTTTACAAGCAAGCTCTTTGCTTTGCCTCTCGCACCCCGGACTGGTTCACCATGCACTGTGGTCCTGCGCGGTGTTGGCATCATCCACGTGTTGGACGGCTCTTTGCGCTTTGCGAAAGAGGGTGATGAGGGGGAAGAAATTCTGCCTGCTGGCGGCACCCGGCTGGTGAAAGATGCTGGGCCCAAGTTGCTAGCACCAGCTGAGAGGGCGACCAAGGCAGCAGAGGAAGGTCTCGCAGGAGTGCGATTTCGATGGTTGGAATGCAAACATGCGAGATGATGCGAGATGAGAGGCACCGAGCCCCACGGAGCCCGCCCGAGCCCATGAGCTGGACCCCTATATATAATGTACTGCTGTGAAGTATCCGAACTTCACGTGAATGGCTAATGTGCGCAATTCAGCAAGATGCAGGGATGTTGTGAGATGTTATAGCATGTTAGGGAATGTTGAAGATTGTCGCTGCTTTGATATGGATGGAAACGTCATTGGTTAGCCTTTGTCAGGAATCAAGGCATCAGCCAAGAGCAAGATTTGTAACTTCCCTGCACTGTAGGCAAAAGAACAGCTTCTCTCTCACACACAAGCAACAGAGTTTGTCCTATTTGCAGTTCTTCCTCCGAGGTGGGTGTCATTGTAGAATTATATATCTAGCTGCAAATGCGACACTTGTATCTAACTTGTTGCTTCATCTTGCCATGAACCTGTGACGGAAAGCTTTGCTGTCGATCAATGCAATCCAACTGTACAATCAGTCAAATGCAAAAGCAAAGCTCGCAGACGCCCAGCTGGTCTCTACGGCTGAAAAGGGATGGGATCGTGTTGCAGATTCGGGTCTGGCTGAGCCAACCTTTTTCTGACCTTGAGCAAAACTGATTGCGATGCTGGAGTGTCGGTGCTTTGTTGAGTCCGTTTGCTGCGTTGAAGTTCAAGGACCTCTGTGAAAGGTCAAGAGAACTCAAACTGTAGAACAACCAGCCAATAGAGATCATCATTTCATGGCCATATGTTGTTAGACAGGCTCTTTGCCATACATGTCGATCATTTTGGAACAGTACAGCATCCAGCACTTCTGACGGCACCTCAAGGGTTGGCCTGAAGACTCAGCCATTAGGATGGCAAGCAACCAAGCAGCAGACTCAGAATGTGCGTTTGCTTGCGCCTGTGTGCTGCAGATGTGCTGCAGATGTGCTGCAGATGTGCTGCAGATGTGCCTTAAATGGAACCAAGATGAACCAAGGCCAACGGTTTGGTCGGTCCCCTGGATGGTGTGCCAAGAACTGAGCATGTTGCTCCATGTTGGTGCTTCATTCTTCGCATTAGTAAACTCGTCCTGGAATTCGCAACTTGCTTTTTTTTTTATTTGTGTGTTTTTTTCATACGTTTTCTGTTTTTCATGTTTATCTTATTTTATCCTAGTCTGACGACTTGTACCAATTAAACTCAATGGAAACTAGACCAAAGTGAGCTTGTCACCGCAAGCACCGCTGCCACAAGTTGAACAGGTTGGAAAGGTATTCGTACCTTGAAGACACCGCCGAGGCAGAGCTGTTTAGGCTGTGGCAGAGCTTGGCAGAGTTTCAATTTTCACAGGCTAAAGCCCAAAAGGCCAGCAAGGCGGTGCCTGAACTCAAGGCACGTGAAATGTTCTCATGTTCTCACCGACCATCTTGAACCTTTCAACGGAGCCAGAGATAAAGGATCCAAAAGGACTCCATTAAAGGATCATTAAAGGATCCACAAAGGTAGAAAGATTAGAAAGTGACAAAACAAGGACCGCCAAAAAGATCCCAATTTCTCAGGCTGCTGCAGACACCGCCAAAGAAAGCTGAAAGCTCAAGCTGCATTAAAGATTAAACTGTGTCTGTTTATTTTCTACAGCATGCCACTGGGTCATTGGAGTCATGTTGATGCAGCCGCTTGCTACAGATTCATTGTAATTTGAATGCAGGGTCTTTGCCGACCTCCCCATCTTCAATTCTACTGAACTGACAAACAATGCAAGAAATTGATAGAAATTGAGAGACCAAAGCACCACTCTAGAAAGCTGATAGGTAGCATACGAGTATATATTGTATATGGTAGCATCGAGTAGCATCCGAGTTCGTAGCACGTGCTTCTGAGGCGGAGATGTGCGTCTTGAGATACAGCTGCAAAATCTGGTAGCCCGCGGCTGTTTGCTCCTGGAAGATCTTGTTTGTTCCTGAGTTTGCATCACTTTCTCAGCTTCTACAGATTGTTGAATTCTGAAGAGAGCTGGCTCATGTTTTATCATTTTATGATAGCCTTTGTATATCCTATGCCTATTAATTTGTATCGTTATTGCCATTGATAGCCGCCTCCACTGGTGCATCAGGACGGAGCGTCTGAAGTAGCATCTGCAGCATTGACATCAGCCCAAGAGCTGCAGGAGCAGTCGCATGTGGACGCTTTAACAGTTTAAAGTAAACGTTTCTCAGAGAGAATATGAACATAGCATGATAGTTTTCGTGTAGTTAACATATGTGCTCATATATGCTCACATTTCGGCTCAAATTATGTATTGAAATATTGAAGCATCTTGCAAGAATGAAATACATGTGACTGAATCAGCTGTATGAAACATATGTAGAACACCTCCAGCCTATTCCAGCCTGCAAGTGTCGCAATCTACTGTTTGACTCACTGTCTCAGGATGCGGCATTGGAGGCAAAACTTCATTTGACCGCATTAGCCTGAAGGGTTTCAAGACCCGTGGACACCATGTCACGATGCCTGCAAAACTTGGACGTCACACGACCATAGGATACCAGACACATGAGGTCGCACAAGTTAACGTGAAGATGCGTGATTTTGAAGGTGCTGTACAGGTGCGTTGTTGCCATTGATTGCATCTGTCTTCCTGGTTTGCTCTTCTTTGACTTTGTCTGCATGTTTTTTTCAGCAGCTGAGCATGTCAGGCAGTTCGAGAGGCTCAAAGATCGCGAATGTGTTTGTTTCTTTATTGTTCATATTAGATCCAGCAGTTTGTCCCGTCCCACTTTGTTCAAAGTCAAGGTTTCGTCGGTTTCACATCGTTCCACAAACACAGTAAAGGCCATTGCCATCTACCAGCAGCGTGGGGAGGGTAGACACCAAGCAGCAGCTTTCTACGAGTGCGGTGCTTAGCAACATCTTGTGACACGTGTCACGTGTGTCTCGCCTCGTTGTTTTCACGCTCGATCCCATTGTCCTTTTGAGTTCCATGGGACGGGGTGCTTGTTGAGCCTAAGTGCAGACCAATGGTATCCAGTGATCTTAGGCAGGTTTCTTTTCTTTGGTCCTTCTATGTCTTTTATTCCTTGGGATTGGATTGCGTGGCTTGCAGTTTACTTAGCCCAGCCCCCACTGGCGTCCAAAGCGAGGCTTGCTGGCATTTGCATGGACTATGGCAATTTGGGCGAAGGTCATCTGGCTGCTGACAAGGCCATGCTGCAACGCTTCTGTTTTCGAATGCCATGAGATACAGTACCCATGTGTTTACCGTGCAAGACTTGAGGGTAGATGAGCTTCTGTCTCGTGTTGCAGGCTCAGGGACTGTGGCAACAGGAAGGCGACAAAAAGGAAGAAGTCAAGGCGATGCGCGTTGCATCCAGCTCCGAATCGAAGGATATTCCTTTACCAAGACGATGTCCAGAGGAACATGTCATTCAACACTGCGAAGGGAATACGATCCCTGAAGGGTTTCAGATGGTTTCAGACTACAGACGATGGTGATGTGCTGAACATTCTGAATCCTTTGTCGCTGTCCAGGCCATGCTGTGCCAGACCCAGAATTGGACTCTCCACCCTTTTGCTATTTATCTTGCTTTCTGATCTTTCTGATCTTTCTGCCACCTTCCAGTATAGAGTTGGTTCTCATGTCAGATCCAGCAAAGTTCCAAGTGTTTTTATCCCGCCTCGTCCAAGGCGACTAGCAGAGATTGTGGCCATGAAAGGACAGACCTCTTCAACGCAAAAAGATTGGAAATGATCTGAATATTGATGAATATTGAAAGTGACACGGAGCGAAACATAGCGACACTACACCTGAATGATCTGAATGAATGGGATCGGTTTCTACAGGCCAGATGGAAGATGCCATTGGAATGGTGGAAGAGGTACCAACGGAGTGAACGAGCGCAGTGCCAATGTCATTGCAGGATGGACACGGGTTGGACTTGTTTGCAAAGTCTCGTGGGCGATGCCGCCTCTGCCAGGAAGGTTTCAGAAACAGATACAGGCGGTTACAAGCGAGATTCTTTGTCACAACCAAACGACACAGACCCATACAGACCCATGATTGAAGACATAGAGACAAGAAAGAAAGGTAGATATAGGATGATATAGGATGATATAGGATGATATAGGATGATATAGGATGATATAGGATGTAGCCAGCAATTCGGATTGGCACATATTGGCACAAATCTGTACCAAATCATCTGGTGCTTGCATAGATTTCCTCTTGCACTGGAATGCCAATTCGATCAATTCGATTTTCAAGCCTACTCCCATCATTTCCTCATTGTCATTTGCCAATTGCTGCCAAACCTGGGTTCATGGATGCGCGATGACTGTCGACATCTTTGATCGCTCAGTGCATCCTGACTGCAGAGAAAGTGCTATGAAACAGCATAATGATGCATAATGGCATAGTGGCGAGACAGTGAAGGAGCAGACAATGTCGTAAGACCTGCTTGGCAGGTCTGAGGAGGAATGCGGCGCACATTTCAGCATTTTTTTAAATGAATGAAGCAGAGTCCAAAGAATAGAAAGTGGCAGCTCATGACCAACCTAGGCTCAGAACATTGCTTAGCTGCCTCTTCCCAAAGCAATTGTCCGAGGTGCATGCAACTGATATCTGGGCTAACCACTACAGCTCTTAAACTTCATGACATCCATGAGTCGCAGCAGTGAAAGTCCAAAAAGCGAATATGCTCGGTCAAGGCTTTGGTGTTCTAGTCAGCAACTGACGCATGTTTGTTCATTAGACTGAAGACATCACATTAAAGGCGTCAAACTCAGCTTCGTAGATGAATGCTGTAGAAAATGAGAGCTGCTGTTTGTAAAGACATTGACAATTTCAGCTGCTGCATTTTGCAGGGGCCTGGTCTTGGTCTTGACTTTCTGGCCTTGCCAGCTGGAGCATGCGACGTCTTGGTGCCCTCGCGTGTTTTGGCTGCTAGTGGGGTCTTTCGTTCGGGCACGCTATTTGCTTCGACCCACTCTCTTGTATTCCTGATGTATTCCTGATGTGTTCCTGAACATTCCTGAACAAGGGAAATGTGCTTCATTGTGCAGCGAGATGCTTGAGATGCTGGAGATGCTTGAGCCCTCTCGGAAGGAGAGAGGACTTGATGACTGAGGCTTTCCAGGGGTTGCTTCCGGAAAGCCAGTTGCCCCGCGGCTTTGCAGCAACTAAGACGACACGGAATTCTTATCATGTCCTGCTCCATGCTCCAACTCACTGGCAGGTGGAAGCTGTTGGAGGATCCCAACGCGTTGGACGATTTGCCTGCGCCGCCAGGATGGGAGGGTGTGATTCGGACCCATGTAGCAATATGTAGCATGAGCCTATGACGTTCTTTGACGTTCTATGACGTTCTATGACGTTCTTTGACGTTCTATGACGTTCTATGACGTTCTATGACGTTCTATGATGTTCTATGACGTTCTATGGTTTATGAATGCAAATGGATTGTCCAAGAATGGCCCAATGACCCAACTGCACCAGGATATGAAAAGAAAGGCAAGGGCAAAGGCAAGAGTAAGAGCAGCGTTGCTTCGAAGGGGAGCACAAAGGGCAAGATGAACGGGATTGCGAGTTTCTTGGCGGAGGTTTAGCATGTTGAACCGCAAATCTAATTCACATCTGTTGTCCTGAAAAAAATGCAGTGGTTTGAAGAGATTTGCCAAAGCTACTGAGGCTTCTCAAACCAAAAAGGCCGCAAAGGCAAAGGAGGTTCAAGCACTCAGGCCTCTTCACAATCAGACTTAGCACTTGACCCAACATTCGACTTCCCTGTAATTTGACAGGTTCGTGGTGGCTCCTTGGCAGTTGGCCGCTTTGGAGTTGACGATGATCCAGCCCCCATCTCAGAAAAAATGCGTAAAGGTATTCGGTAATCAGAAAATGTGATAATTACTGTACAATTTGTGTACGAAAAAGCAGCCTTTGAGGTGCCAGACTTTGGACTCTTCTGTCCCGAGGACTTCATGTCATTTCATAGCATCAAAATATATCAAAATAGTAGGTATAGAATTGAAGCTGCTAGTCATTTCAAAGATTTTTGAAGCCAGGAGTTGAAACTAAGTACATCCTCCTGCACTTCTCACATCGAAGCCCAAGGCACAAGACTGATTGTGTACGCAAACCATTTTTTTTTTGGGTACATGCTGCAGCTGCAGTATGCACTGTAGTGGTGGAAACAGGTTGCTGCTTGGTGCCTGGCGTCGTACCGGAGCACATTTGTGTTCAGATGGCTGAGACATGGCTGAGACATGTTGGCAATGAACGGACTTCATTTCACTTGTTCAAAGCAGAGGGATTGCAAAATTGAGTACTGTGAGCGGAAGCATTCACACAAGAGAAGGTTTTCTTTTATTTTGTGAAACCGATCAATCGAACTTAATCTGCATATTCGTATACACAATAAAGACATATTAATATATATATATAATTATATATATAATATAGATAGATAGATACGTACAATATTTAGTTTCAAATCTCAAACTGAAACGCCAGAATCGTGCTGAGGGCGTGGTCGATGGTATACTTGAAGATGTACTCCAAGACCTTGAGAACGAAGATGACGATGAAGTGCGCAAGAGGAAAAGGCTACGGGATCCTTCATTGAATTTGACGGGTTACTGATTTGTTATCTTATTTATATCTGATTTTTGTATACTGCGTCTGCGTACTTTGCATTAATATCTGATACAAGCATATATATATATATATACAAACTTATATTGTATCCTTCTCTACCGCAAATCTTAAGTTATCTACAAAGCATTGCTTTGTGGCTTGTGCTGGAGATTTGCCGGCGAAGCTGAGGACCTTGGCTCCGCACCTTGGCGTCAAGACCTGTTGCGTGTGGAATTTACAGGTATCAACAGGTATCAACCAAATTTTAAGTATCACTTTGCCAATCTTAGCATGGACGGGCAGCCAGGTTGACCAGTTGACCGCAATGAAAGAAACAGATGGAAACGGTGGGTTGTTCGTTCGGAGACCCGCTGCTCTTGCACCTGTCTTCGTTTGAGGTTCACGCGGAGGATCATCGTTGGGACTTAAAGCTGCCTTTAACTTCAGAGGTTCGCAGCACTGTGGAAGTCCTTGTCCTTTGGCAGCATGGCATTCTCACTGTGCCACCTCCATCGCAATTGTGCAGTATGAAACGTTCATCAATGTCCCCAGCGGGACAAATAAATGGTGCTGCAGCGCATGTAGATGATTGTAGATGATGTGCAACCCAAAAATGCATTGAACATGTTTCTAATATGTTTCTCATACGTTTCCAGCAAGGTTCAATCGATGGGCACCCTGCTAGAGGACCTTGTGTCGAGGGATGCAATCCTTGCGGAGCTTGCTTGCATCGTCAGTGATCCAGGCATGGGCTCGGTGAGGCACTGGGTTCCGCAGGCCACCAACATTAGGTTCAAATTTCAAGGACGGAACTGAGTGAGAATGTGGTTTATGCCGTTGGGGAGCTTCTTTCCGCTTATTTGGCCAGCCTTCTTCAAGATTCCCAGGCGCCAAGCAACAGCCTTTGCACGCAGATACTCTGCGAATAGGCCGGGCTAGACTGCAAGGAGCTACCATATTTTAGCGCTGCTGCTGCTTCGGCAGCGCATATGTGATTCTGGCACTGAAGTTGTAGTGTTGAGGCAGCGCTTGCGCCCCTTCGTTGACGGTCTTTGTCCCGCTGCAAGACACACGAGCCAGCATGGGACCAACCATTCTTTGCCAGGGTGTCTGAGACTGCAATTTCCAATAGGTGCAATAGTGCGGGTTTGTCATGGTCTAGTTACTAGTTTGTGATTGTTTCGACCTTGATTGACCCTGTGCTTTGTATTATCTAGATGTGCGTTTTTCAGTTTACGCTGTTTGCGGTATGAAGCAGAGCGGATCCAAGGAACGCACAATCTTTCTTCCCATTTATCTCTGTTCAAGTGTGAGCAAGTATTCATGCCGCAAGATGTCATTGTGAAGAAACATCGTGGACACTCCACTGCACTTAAGACTTTGGACTGCTAGCACTTGTTTTGAAGATGCTCTTGATTGTTTCTGAAAATTGCCTTTTGTTTGTTGTCTTTTTCTACTTCTTTGTTCCTTCTCCACGTTCTCCACTGTTCAAATGCTTGATTGAGCGTCCACATTTGTCTCTCAGGTTTGCCCGCTGTTTCCTCATCTGGAACTGCCATTATCATGAATTCCAATTTGCTACACTGCGGGGGAGCAAACCTACCAGCAGAAATGGGAGGAAGTAGGCGAAGACTCCTCTATGTGGCCTGGCAAAGGTACACACAAGAAGGGCTGCTAAAGGAGGAATCGCATACAAACTCCCCCTGGGATCTCTGACACTTGAATCAGAAGGGCAAGGGACAGAGCAATCGCAGGTTGCTAAGAAGCATTCTGTTGTACAGGCTTTCTAGCATTGAAGGTTTGGTCCCGGACAGTGATTCATTCGTCGCCCTGCAAGTTCTTGGTGAAAGCCATTCCAGGTGACTTTCCAGACGCCAGACAACACGCCAGATAGGTTCGATTCGAAATTATTGCAATGTCAGTGCCATGCTTGCCATGCTTGAGTTCACCAACACGCTATCACATGATTTACATGCTACTGTACCACCTGGTCACTTTCAGATTGGCCACACAGGTAGTGATGATGCTGTTTTTAGTGAGGTTGCTTGATTCTGATGCTTCAGCAGCACGCCAGGTCATCGTTTTCTCTTCGTGAGGAGTTGCTGGAGGTGGAGATTGAAGCAGAGATCATTGGGAACAGCACTGACAATTGAACGTGTTGAGTGTCGAGTGATGTTGAGAGGCTGTCTTTGGTTTGGTTTGTGTTGAGTGATTTGAGTGTCAGTTTTGCATTCAGATCTTCCAGATTTTCCATACATGTTTTTGAATACAAAGCATGTGTAGGAACTACATCTTTCAGACTTTGATGGTGGAGCTCCTCTTCAACACCCTCTTGACTCACAACGACAGGTGCTGAATTCAGAGACTTGAAGCATGTGAAGCAGTGTCTTGCGGATGCTTTGTCACGCTTTGCTTGCGGCAGTGGTGTGCAGACCCACTTCACCTGAAATTAAGGACAATCATTAAGAGAGAGCACCTCATTCGAATTGGACCATCGGTTTGGACGGTTTGCATTGGTTTGTACGTTGCTTTGTCCCCACTTTCTGGTTTCAGGCTTTGCTTTTGGGATCACTACGTGGAGATAGCGAGGCCTGACTCTACCGAGATGAGACGATCCGGAATCATGCAGGAACTTTCCAAGGTAGTACTATGATATAGAAATATCAAAAATTGAATATTATATATATAATTATATATATATTATATTAAATTATATTATATATAATATGTTATATATATAATATTATATATATTGTATAGATAATATACAATATAGACAAAAAACTATATATTATATATATTATATGTATTATATATATTATATATATTATAAATATATACTATCAAATACATATTATAAATACATGTTATAAACATATATTATCACTATATAACTATATATATTTTAAACATATTTTATAAATATGTATTATAAATAAATATGATATTGTATATATATATATATTCAAATATATATGTTGTGAATGTATATATATAACATGCATTATAAATATAAATATAAATATATATTGAAAATATAAATTAGAAATATATATTTAATATATATATATATATTAAATATACATTATAAATATATATATATATTTAAATATATATTACAACTATATATATATAGATTATAGTGTAATATAAATATATAATATGTATACAATAATATTGATATAATATTTAAATATATAATATATTGTTTAATGTACAATATGTAATATATACTATATATACTATATACTAGTTAATATTTCATATATTATACATGATACATTATAATGTATAGTAGATATGATGTATATATATAATATGATATACATAATATATATGATATACATATAATATACGATATATATATATATACATATTTATCACATATAAAATATATCGTATAATTTGCAATATATAATATATAATTACATATATACAATATATAATGTACAATATGTGATATGTAATAATATATAATATATATTTTTAAATATGTAATATGTAATGTGTAAATATAAAATATGATATATAACGTACAATATACAATATATATAATATTTATAATCAAAGGAAGTTTCATGGAGGAAACTCCGAGTTACGGACTTTCACATTCTCACTAGCCCAAAGATCATTGTGTTCAGTTGGCATGTGCCTTCAGAGATCATAAAGTCACATTCTCATGAGCACAGAGATCATTGTGTCCAGTTGGCATGTGCCTCAAGAGATCATGAAGTCACATTCTCACTATAGCGCTATATCCCAAAGATCATTGTGTCCAGTTGGCATGTGCCTTAAGAGATCATAAAGTCACATTCTCATTAGCACCGAAATCATTGTGTCCAGTTGGCATGTGCCTCAAGAGATCATGAAGTCACATTCTCACTAGCCCAAAGATCATTGTGTCCAGTGGGCACTTGCGTTAAGAGATCATGAAGTCACCTTCTCGCTAGCCCAGAGGTAGACTAGAGGTAGGCTAGAGGTAGAGTAGAGGTAGAGTAGAGAATGGTAGAAGTAGAGCAGAGTAGAGGTGTTGTGTCTTGCGATTCTGATTGTGTTTTGCAGGTCATTGTTGACAGATCAAGTTGGAATTGCTACATCATGGATGCGATGTGAATGTTCCGATTTGCACAAAACATTGTGTTTTTTTCGGGTAAACGGAGGTTCGGTTGCGGTGAAAGTTGGCTCGCGCGCGCGACGGTCTTAGGCGTCGTCGCTTTGCAGCCGAATCCGGTTCGATTTGCGCGCGGTGGAACTGAGGGCTCCGGTTGACTTTTTCTCTTCTTTGCTGACGCTTTTTTTTTTGTGTTTTGCATACGTTGCGACACTTTGTGCAGTGGAACTGGTGCATCAAAGCGATGTGTTCTACAGTAGTGTGTTGCAATTCTAATGTGTTGTGCGACTCAGTCTGTGCAGATTGCAGTGGAATGGCTGCGTCAAAGCTTCTCGAAGGGTACTGGTTCTCCAGTACGGTCTTGCGATTCTGCTTGTGTTTTGCAGGTCATTGTTGGCAGATCGGACTGGTATTGCTACATGATGTACGCGATTTGAATGTTAGGATTTGCACGAAACATTGTGTTTCTTTCGAGTAAACGGAGGTTCCGTTGCAGGAAAAGTTGGCTCGCGCACGCAGCGGTCTATAGGCATCGTCGCTTTAGCGTGGAATCTTGCTCGAACTACGCGTGCAGTGGAACTGAGGGCTCCAAAGCGATGTGTTCTACAGTAGTGTGTTGCAATTGTGTTGTGCGATTCAGTCTGTGCAGATCGCAGTGGAATGGCTGCGTCAAGGTTCCTCGCTGCTGCGGCTGCTTGCGGAATACTATTGTGTTTGGCAGCTGAGAGTCGTAAATAGTATTGTAGTGGCTGCATGAAAGTTGCGAAGTGTGCTTTGGCAGCAGTTTTTTCCCATTTTGGCGCTGATGATTTTCCTTTTAAAATTCCTTTTAAAAAGTGCTTCAAAACCGTCGTTTTTCCGCTTGGGCGTCAAGATCCGGTTTTGGAGCTGCAATTTGCGTAGCCGTTGTGCGTAATTCCGTAGCGTTTTGCAACTCAGTGTCTGCAGATCGCAGTGGAATGGCTGCGTCAAGGTTCCTCGCTGCTGCGGCTGCTTGCGGAATACTATTGTGTTTGGCAGCTGAGAGTCATAAATCGTATTAAATCGTATTGTAGTGGCTGCATGAAAGATATGAAAGTTGCGGAGTGAGCTTTGGCAGCAGATTTTCTTTCATTTTGGTGCTGATATGTGCTGATGATTTTCCTTTGAAAATTCCCTTTAAAAGTGCTTCAAAATCGTCGTTTTTCGGCTTGGGTGTCGAGATCCGGTTTTGGAGTGTAGCCCTTGTGCGTACTTCTAGTGTGTTTTGCAACCCAGTCTCTACAGATCGCAGTGGATTGCCAAACGGCCTGACGCACTTACATATGGGGGATGGTTGCAATTGGTCCCTGCAACATCGGTTTGCCGGCGGAATTGCAGCACTTGGAAATGGGATATTCGTTTGATCAGCCGATCTGCAACATCCGCTAGCCGCGGCGTCTGCAAACCTTGACCTTTGGCATGACATTCAAAATCGGCCCTTAGCTTGCAGGACGTTCTTCTGCCGGCAACGCTCTGCGAGATTTAGTTCGGCAATCGTTTCGATCGGGCACGATGGCATTCGCTAGCCATCGCAGCTGCGGCTTTTGCATTTGGGTTCTGACTTCAATCACTCCCTGGCTACCACGAATCTACCAGACCAACTCGAAACCTTCGTGTTGTCGCGGTCTTTGCAACAAGATTTGCGGTACGTGCCTTTGCCGCAATCATTGTTGCGTCCCACCCTTGGCGAATGCTTTCCGTTGGAACGACATCCGCTCTTGTGGCCGCCGTGCCCGGAGGAACTGAGCATCAAGCGGCCGTTTCTCGGCGTTCCGGTCGACGTCACCTTCCCGGAGACCTTGCGCAAGCTCCTCTCCCCGGCTGCCTCTCTTGCTTGCAGCAGTGATGCGCGGCGGTGCGGTTGACTCCGGCCGGCCATACGCCCAGGTCAACCGCCTGGACGCGTGGCTGGCGCAGGAGAATATTTTGTTTGGTCAACTGTATCTCCCGGGAGCCCTGTACAGTTTATCGGCTCCAGCAGGCGACCTTTTGGGGCGCATGTTGAGGGACATGCTGTCCCAGGGCGAGGAGAGGCAACCCCAACGCAGGGTTGGCCACAGTCTCCTCGCCCTTTTTTGCCAACTGTTGGACAATCCAACAAAGTTTCATGCCGCCCTTTTGTAGGGCGACATGAACACACTAGTGGCGGCAGCCCAGAGCCTGTGGTCTATGATCATGTTTTGCACCCCCATAATCTGCATTTGTCATGGTGGAGTTGAACACCCAGCGATCTGGCAGCTATTTTGATGTAAAAAAAAAGAGTTTCGATGTGTAACTCGATTCAATCAATTCGGGGAGCTTAACTATCCTCCATGTGGGTAGTTATCACGCAGGATTTAACACGTCTTTATCCCAGGGCCCCAGGGTCACCCACAGCGCAGGAGTTGCGTCGACGTTGTGGAGTGGTCGCAGTTGAGGACTTGCGCTGTGACCATATCACACACACACACCATGCAAACAATGGTAACCTGGATGCTACAATAGGTAGTGCAGTATCCCGGTGGCAACTTCCACTCTAGAACTGGTGAACCTGTGCATAGTTTAAACGATTTTCTTAATGTATTGGAATTTTAAAATTGATGTCAGGCTAGTCATTTTATTGTTGGGGGGTTGGTCTGAGCATTTTATTGGCAAGGTAAATCCTGATGATTTTTAACGTGTTAAAATTCCATTCTCATTTTATTGCAAAAAAATGTTTGGAGCATTTTATTGCAGAATGGAACCAATGCTTTTCCAGGATCTTTTTATATCGATTTTATTGGGCATATCATTTTAGATCAGCGAATTTTAAGGAATTTGAAGGAATTCTAAGGAATTTTAAGGAATATTAAGGATTTTTAAAGGAATTATAAGGAAAATTAAGGAATATTAAGGAATTTTAGAGGAATTATAAGGAAATTTAAGGAATTTAGAGAGTTTTAAGGAATTTTAAGGAATCTTAGAGGAATTTTAAGGAATTTAAAGGAATTTGACGGAATTCGAAGGAATTTGGAGGATTTTTAAGGATCTTTAATGTTTTTAAAGAATACTTAAGGAATTTTAAGGAGTTTTTTTGAATTTTAAGGAATTGAACGGGTTTTTATAGAATTTTAAGGAATTGCCACGAAAGAATGCCACCGTATTTTGTTGCTTTAGAATGCTATTAAAAAATTAAAGGACCGGATAACCCCACATGTCAACTTCTTCCAACAAGCAGCAAAAGAAAGGTAAAGATGGCATGGGGAAAGCAGGAAAGAGAAAAGAGATGGTGAAGGATTGGTGTGGAGCAAGTTGTGTGTGGAAGAGTAAGTGTGAGCAAGGGAGGCTTTGGTGCAGAGCTAAGTCAGGTTCAAAAGGGTTCCGGAGAAGGTTCCGGAGAAGGTTCCAAGAAGCCTTGGCGCAAAGCCAAGTCAGGTTCAACAGGGTTCCGGAAAAGGTTCCGGAGAAGGTCGGGGAGGCTTTGGTGCAGAGCCAGGTCAGGTTCAACAGGGTTCTGGAGAAGGTTCCGGAGAAGGTTCCGGAGGAGGCTCCGGGAGGTGTTCAACAGGGTTCGGAGAAGGTTCCGGAGAAGGTCGGGGAGGCCTTGGTGCAGAGCCAGGTCGTGTTCAACAGGGTGCCGGAGAGGTGCCGGAGAGGTGCCGGAGAAGGTCTGCAATGGGAGGCTTTGGTGCAGAGCTTCAACAGGGTTCCGAAGAAGGTGAGGCTTTGGTGCAGAGCCAGGTCTGGTTCAGGTCAACAAGGCTCCGGAGAAGGTTCCGGAGAAGGTTCCGGAGAAGGCTCCGGGAGGCTTTGGTGCAGAGCCAGGTCAGGTTCAACAGGGTTCCAGGAAGACTTGGTGCAAAGCCAAGTCAGGTTCAACGGGCTCCGGAGAAAGTTCCGAAGGCCTGGGAGGCTTTGGTGCAGAGCCGGGTCAGGTCTGGGAGGCTTTGGTGCAGAGCCAGGTCCGCTTCCAAGGAGGCTTTTGTGCAGAGCCAGGTCAGATTCAACATGTTCCGGAAGGTTCCGGAGACCAAGGTCAGGTTCATTTAATTCACGGAAAATCGGCTGAAGTGTTTCCAGCGCCTGGCTTCCCAGCACGCTTCAGAAAGATTTGTAAAAATAAAATTTTGCGGCCGTTGGGGATACCACCGAAGCTTATTTCATTATTATTGTTTTTATTTTTGTTATTATTATTATTGTTATTATTTGATTTATAAGTTATAATATACATGGTATATTGCTATATAAAACGCATTGGCATAGCACATTCTAATTTTTAAAGATTAGAATGTGCTATGTCAATGCGTTATATATATATATTATACGTTTGTTGTGGTTTGTTTTCTCGTGACGTGCAAGTCTTTCGTAGTGCAGGCCATGATTGAGTTCGGGCTACTTCTCCAGTCACGTGGAGATCCCGGAGCTGTTGAGTACTTCAGAAAGGCTGCTTTGAACAAAAATGCGTATCTTGGTTCACACAGAATCCCTGTCAATGAAAACATATGAAAACTGTATGTCATCTGCATCGCCACCATGCAGTTCTGTGCAGTTTGCTATCAGTTCGCCGCAAGGAAAGGATTCGCTCTCCTTGCCGATGTGTTCGAACGAGGCAAGTCGCAAGTCCACGTGATGTATTCAGTGACTCAACGTGGTCTGTTTCTCTGGTGCTGCCAAGGTGAGCTCGGAATTCCGAAGAACCCTGAGGAAGCGGCCAAGCTTCGCAACTTTGGTGCCCAAGACGCTTCACCACATGCACCGCACAGTTGCAGCAAATTCGCTCAGATAGATTTGATATGATATGATATGATATGATATAGATGTACTACTTGAAGAACTGTGAATTAGACGTCCAAACGGTGGCCCTGTCAAATGCAGTAGAGGTGCTGCAATGGAAACGTGACTTTGCTGCATCAAGCCTTGTGTCAGTGGAAAAGCAAGGCAGCAACCTTTTGCCTGTGAGCTGACTGGTCTCGTTTGATTTTTCAAAGGGTACCAATACGAACTTGAATTCCAGTGCTAATGCAGATAGGCTTGACAGAATTGCGTGTGAAGTCTTTAAGCCTTAAGCATCTTCAAGCAGTTGCGTAATCCAAAAGGGACTTGGAGACATTTGGAGGAAATCACTCGAAACAGTTGTATGTTGGGATCAAAGGGGCATTGCGGGGCATTGCGGGGTCAGTTCGATGCTCAGCGAGGCAGCTCGGTGGAAATGGAGAGCAGGGTGACACATCCAATGTGAGCGAAGCAAAGCCGGGCTGACAGCGTTTGAGAGGTTTCCACACTCCATAAAACATCTTAAAGTAGCTCAAAGCCTATCAATGACACTTTCATGTTTCATAAGTTTCGTAGAGTTTTGCAATCTTTTACACATATTTTCAGATGCTGCTTGTTCTTAGTAACCTGTCTTGCTGGGCTTGGACAGCCTCGAAGAGCTCAGCACAATGCTGGTTACAGACGCGCACAGTAAGGAAAGACCGCAGGCTTCAGAGGAGCTTGCACCTTCCACAAAGAGACCCAGCAACAAGCCAAAGGGCTCATTTTGCTGATCTCAGGTAGTTAGGTAGTCATGGTGATAGCATGTGATTGCATTTGACTGCAATGCCCAGTTCGTTTTCATAAAATAGCTATTTCTTTCGGCTTTGACAACTTCCTGGGTCTAGATCTTCGCATGCCGTACAAACAGCAAGCTCAAGGGAACCGAAATGATGCCAAGCGTTTTTGTTGGGGATGCAGCATTCGGAGTGGAACACATGTCAGGGAATGGTTGCCTGTCAGAAGGGTGGCAACAAAGATGGAGAGGTGCCCCGGAGGGGAGTGATGCAAAGAAGCTGTGTGTAGGCAACGCGTTGTACAAGTAGTATGATGTTCGATTATGTTTATATATTCATGTACAATCATGTACATATGAATGTGCAACAGGCATAATATAACATGCTTGGGACCTTGTGCAACTGAGGGCAGACGGAGTCAACTTAAAGTGATCTGAGAGAGCTGGGTGGTGTATTCTGCTGCCATTGAATGCTCTTGTTCCTTTCCATGCAGGCTGAATGTTTGAAGGTTTTGAGCCGGCTGCACCAGGAGTGAACCACAGTATTGCTCGAGGTGTACTGCGAGTGTAATGCCTTTCTTTTTATCACGTTTTTGCCCTTGCAGTTTCATTTGATGAAGTCGGTGTAAAGATTGCCCAAGAGGACATTGTCCAAGCTGACTCTTCACTTGCTTCGATCATCTTGCCACCTTGTGAACGCGCCTTCAGCAACTTTTATCAAGTCCTCAGAGGACTGGTATAGAAAGATTTGCCAAAGATTTCAAATCTAACCAAATTCATGGCCACCGCTGTCATGACTCCTCGTCGCGCAGAACAGTGCCTCGTTTTGCTTGAAAGACGAAGTTATGAAGATTCAAACGTCTGTGACATTCTGTGACTGTGCAGGTGTCATGTGGGTTCCTGCAGTTACCATCAGTTACCATCAGGTACCCATTGAATGTGCCCTTTAGCACTTGGAATTAAGGGACACCTACGACGGATCAGCTTCGCCAACAGCCTCGGCAGTGGCTTGGCACGTCTACGAATTGCAACGGAGACACAATGTGACCCGGTGTGACCAGAATGTAACGGCAAGGCTACTGATAATTATATATACATTTGCAATTGTCTTATAGGAATAAATCGTGTATCAGATTTTATCAGATTATAATAACAGATTATAAGAACAAATTATAATAACAGATTATAATGACACATTATAATGACAGATTATAATATCAGATTATATCATCTTATATCAGATTATATCAGATTATGTCAGATTATGTCAGATTATGTCAGATTAATCAGTATATTTTTGCATGATACAATATGAAAGTTGTCTTTTATTGGAAACCATGCACCAGTCGTTTGAATGACCGCAAGCAACTCTTCAGGCCAGAGCCGCTGCCCTGGCAGTTGCCGGCCCCGAAGATAAGCTGTGCTGGCTCGATTGTTTCATTCCATTTTGGACAACGGAAAACCGTTTTCAATGTTTCATGATGTTTCATGATGCTTCCAGTTTCAATGTTTTCCACCAAAACAAGATGAACAAAGTGCATCAAAGTGGACCAGAGTGGAACAAAGTGTTCATTCAGTTGAGCTAGACATGGCTTTACAAGCAAAAATATGTGAAACATTGTGAAACCAAGTCTCCAAAGCTTTGGAGGGTTGGTGTGCTGGCACAGTTGGCACAGTGAAATTGAGAAGAACCTGCCAGGCCCAGGAATGCTGAGTACCTGGCTCCCACGCTTGCAAGCCTGAGAGCACAGGAGGCCCACAACAGGGTACAGTCAGCTTATTGTGAATAGATGTGAATAGATGTGAATAGATGTGAATAGATGTGAATAGATGTGAATAGATGTGAATAGATGTGAATAGTGCATATTCACGTTCCAAGTCTAGAATTGTTCAGGCTCATCTCGCATCACTGGACCTGTTCAAGACAAACATCCAGGTGTGGCTTTGAATATCAGGTGACCAGATCCAGGATGATCCAGGTTGCCTTTGACAACTTTGACATACTTCCACCATCTTCCACCCTTTTCGCCACGTTGTGTCATGTCACAGCCAGGCCTCTGCGGCAAGCGAGCTACCTGCATCATCTGCACCTCAAAAAAGTTCTGCTGAGGAGGACCAGACATGACTACGCGACTACGCTGTACTTGAAGTAGGGATTGAAGGAGTGCTAAGCAAATATCACACCCCTATTAAGATTGATGTCTATATTTGTAGAATCTATAATCAATATCTTGTCATAGTATACATTATTCAGCTTGAATACGGATACCGCAGTAGGTTTGGTGTCGGTCGAATTGACACAAGCTGGACAGACATTGCACAGGCAGAAGAACCACGGATCATTATGTGGGAATCCGAAAAGGAACCAGCCTCAGAATCGCAACTCCATGGGTTTCTGCTCAGTAGACTTTCTCTCTCAAGTGTTGGACCTTTGAGTAGCAAAATTATCAGAGCTCAGGTAGCGATGCAAATGCAGAAGCAACAAGAAGAGCAGGCCATGTCCGAAGCTTTCGCTGCTTTTGCACAGTGTGAGACGAGAACAAAGACACAGGCAAGACTGGTTTCCCCCTAAAACCGAGATTGCCAGGCAAGTTTGATTTGATCACTGCCGAAAAATCTCTGCTAGGAGAAGAAGTCAGAGCGGCAGATTGTGACAGCGCCTCGTCCGTGAGAATTTCTCGCAGTTTTGGCTACGTGCGTAGCCATTCTACTCGAAGCCAATGTTTGATTTATTTGATTTGATTTGATTTGATTTGGCTGTGGGGTCGATATCAAACAATGTTACTATGTTCTTTCGGGTGTTCACCGGGGAAGATTCAATTCATGCCCATATTCTATTCTCACCCATATTCTCCCGCTACCGCAGGCTGTGGATGATTGGTTCGACCTCGGTCCGCTGCCAAGATTGCCAACCCCTCCTTTCCTGTGCCACATTGTCTTCATGGGTGTAGCATTTTTGCTTGAACTATTCAGATGAAATCTCCGAGGTGCTATGTTCGGTTGCTTCTCCTGCAGGGAAAAGTAAAAGAGCTAAGCTGAAGTTTTTTTTGTAGTTTGCCGAAGTTTTGCCGGATACTGGCAAGTCTTTTGGAGATTTGCTCAGTGTCTCGCAGATGCACAAAGCTACCTGCGCTTCTGGCCTCCAGATAAGGGTCTCCGGTGAAAATGGATTTTGTGACCATCTCACAGAATTGCAACATCCGGACCCATAACGTGGCTAAGAGGCTTGTCAGGTGGCCATATTTCACTTTTAGACGTGTACAGAGGCCTGCAGACGGAAGGGCAAGCTGTTGCACTGCACGGAAGTGCCACAGCTGCCCTTTGATCTGCCACTTTAGGTTCAGCCCGCAGAGCTGTAGCAGCTGAATATAGCGAGCTCTGCTGCCATTGCGCAGAAGAAAAACGTTTCTGTTGGAAACCGACCTGTATATGTCTAGTTATGAGATGTATTGATATGTTACGAGTTATGATATGTTATGATCAATCATGTGCAACCTTGAAAATTCTAGGACCTGCAGTTGCCACACTGACCCTTTTGATCCTTTTGACCAGGAGACTGGTGACCTCGACTTAGCCTTGGATGCCTGGACCTTGCAGGGTCCCAATGCATAGGAAGTGATATTTTTTAAGGGAAATTTCGAAAAAAAAAACACAGTTTGTTTTTTTGTGGATTTCTGGTTCCCAGCTTCTCTGCTTTTCTGCTTTTCCATGCTTCTTTGCTTCTCTGCTTTTCCCTGCTTTTCTTTTGTTTCTCATACTGTAAATAGACCCTAAGACGCATCATTTAATACATAAACCCTAAATCAGCCCTAAATCAACTCTGAATAAAATCCAAAACAAACCAAAAAAGCACTAAAGCAACTCTAAGTAAACCCTGAACATTCCCTAAATAAATCTGAAACTAATCCTAAATAAACCCAAAACCCACCCTAAATAGATCGTAAACCAACCCCAGCTAGATGCTACTCGTAAACCAAGCCTAAATAAACTTTACACCAACGCTAAATAGATTTTAAACAACCAACGCTAAACAATCCTGAAACCAACCCTGAACAGGTCCTACACCAACTCTAGATAGATCCTAAACCAAGCCTAAAACCAACCCAAAATAGATCATAAACCAACCCCAACTAGATGTAAACCTTACACCAACCCTAAATAGGTTTTAAACCAGGCCTAAATAGCTCCTAAACCACCCCTAAACAACGATTAAACCAACCCTAAATAGGTGCTAAACCAACTCTAGATAGATCCTAAACCAAGTCTAAATAAGCTCTAAAATTCTAAAACCAACCTGAAATAGATCCTAAACCAACCCCAGCTAGATATTACCACAAGCCTAAATAAACTTTACACCGACCCTAAATAGATTTTAAACCAGGTCTAAATAGCTGCTAAGCCAACCCTAACCAACGATTAAACCAACCCTCAATAGGTTCTAAACCAACTCTAGATAGATCCTGCACCAAGCCTAAATAAACCCCAAAACCAATCGTAAAAAAATCTTTAACCAACCATACATAGATCTTAATTACGCCTACATAAAACCCTAAACCAAAGCACAAATAAACCCTAAACCAAGTTTAAATGGATCCTAAACCAACCCTAAATAGATCTTAATCAAGCCTAAGTAAACCCTAAAACCAACCCTAAATGAACCCTAAATAAATTTTAAACCAAGCCTCAATAAATCCTAAACCAACCCTAAATGGATCCTAAACAAACCCTAACTCGAAAACCAATGCTTACACAGCCTAAAACCAACCCTAACTGAAACTCTAAACTAACCCTAAAACCAACCCTAAATGAACCCTAGTTGCAAACTATCATGTTCCATGAACAGTTCGATCACCAAAACGTTGCAAATTCTATAATGTTAGGTTCTAACTCAAAAATGCTGCAAATACCGTTGACATGGCAGCTTCCAGCTCCAAAATGCTGCAAATAGCAAGGAAAATGAACAGAACAGGAAATAAAAAAAACACACAAAACCCAATTATGAGATGTTGCCATCATGAAGCAAGATCGCGGAAGCAAAATCATAGCATAGTTCACCAACCGTTTCAGGGATATTTCACCACCTTTGATGGAATACTGCTTCTAATGTACGGGTTTGGGCCAATTCCTTACAGCAGTGTCTTTTTGGGATCGGTTTGATTTTTTATTGGCTGTCATGCACGCATTCGCTGTGAAGAAAGAGAGGGTTACCCCACTTTTCTACTCAAATGGCAATTCCGGACCCAATGCATAGAGATCGGTGGCACTTGAAAGTTCTTGAAAGATGTTCAAAGCACGAATGGGCCAAAGGCGTCGCGCAAGGAACGTTTGGTGAGGGAGAAGGCACGGTAGAACGGGTGATTTTGCTCCTAGCAAAACCTTTTCATAACTGGTGCAGTCTGCCTATCCTCAATATCACACATACATAGTACGAAAGTACATCAGTGCACAGAAAAGAGCACACCTGTAGTCGTATTCTAGTTGTATTGTAGTTACCCCATGTTGCCTCGCTCCAGTATGCTCTGGCTTTTGTGTGTTTGGCAGGCCAGAGACAAGCTAGGAGCAGCAAAGAGCCGAGCTGGCAGTGCTGTCAGGATTGCCCTATACGGTCCTACCCAAAGTCCTAAACCGATTGATGCTGAGGCCCAAGCACTACACAACATCGCTACAATTCATTTGAGCTCAATCCTTGGCAGAATCTTTTGTCGGGTTATGTCGGGTTGAACTGGTTGCAGTTGAGACGATCCATGATGATCATGTTCGTCTTGTGAATACCATTGCATGGACGCCATGGACGCCATGCATCAGCTGCCCATACTTTAGTTTGCAACCTGCAGCCATTTTGCAAAGCATAGACTCCTTGCACCGGGGCAGCGTGGGTGTCAAAATGGTTGAGCACTGGTCTCAGGCAAAGTTTCTTTCGCACTTTGTACCTGAAGTTCTTATCATGCTTTATCACTTCATCCAGGTGCGGATGATCTCAAGATTTAAAGGCTTACGCCTGACAGCCGGGCGCCGGCCAAGCAATCTTGGCACCATGTTGGCCCTATGTTGGCCCTATGTTGGCCCTATGTTGGCCCTATGTTGGCCCTATGTTGGCCCTATGTTGGCCTATGTTCTGAACTGCCTAGACACTAGCTTCAAACCTTCAATTTGCTTGCCTTCCTGCACTGCCAGCTTCCAACTTGCTTGCGTCCTCTTGCAGCTGGCTTTTGTCCTGCCCAGCTCCGGTCACGGGACCGTCCCGCAGGGCCAAAACACCACAGGAAGTGAAGGGCCCGCGGCCGGCAGCCCATACTGCCAAATGTTGCTTTCTGAACTGACTACAACTAGCTTCAAACCTTCAGTTCAAACCTTCAATTGCCTTCCTGCTGCCAGCTTCCAACGTGCTGCGTGCACGACTTGCTGCGTGTAATTGCTTCGTCTTCTTCTTCTTCTTTTTTTTGATCTTCATCATCTTCTTCTTCTTTTTTTCTTCTTCTTCTGCTTTTTCCTTGCTTGCTTCTTGCTCGTGCAGCTTGCTCCCGCTCCTTCTTTCTTTTGCCTCTTGCTTCTTGCTTCTTCCTTTCTATTGTTTCGTTTTCTTCTTCTTCTTCTTCTTCTTGATCTTCTTGATCTTCTTGATCTTCTTGATCTTCTTCTTCTTCTTCTTCGTCTGCTTTTTCCTTGCTTGCTTCTTGCTCGTGCAGCTTGCTCCCTCTCCTTCTTTCTTTTGCCTCTTGCTTCTTGCTTCTTCCTTTCTATTGTTTCGTCGTCGTCTTCTTCTTCTGTTTCTTCCTTTCTTGCTGTGCCGCTTGATTGCTTTCTCCTTTTCCATTTTGTAAACTTGCTAAACATTTTCCTTTTGCGTCGGCACTTTGACATTTGCTGCGTGTACGAGTTGCTGCGTGTAATTGCTTCATCTTCTTCTTCTGCTTCTTCCTTGCTTGCTTCTTGCTCGTGCAGCTTGATTGCTTTCTCCTTTCCTTTTTTTAAAATTGTTTAACTTTTTTGCTTTTGCGTCGGCACTTTGACACTTGCTGCGTGTACGACTTGCTTTGCGTAATTGCTTCATCTTCTTCTTCTTCTTCTGCTTCTTGCTTGCTTGCTCCTTTTTTCTTTTGCGTCGGCACTTTGACACTTGCTGCGTGCGCGACCTGCTGCGTGTATTTGCTTCTCTGACGCGCCCCTGCTGTCGGCAGGGGTCGGCGCATATTCTCAAATCATGTTTCCCTTCGGACTTTGTCATTCCCGCTGGTCAATGTCGGATTTTGTGGCTGAGGGGAGAGGTTCGAAGACCCAGGGAAGAACCCATGGAAGCACAGCGAGATCAGCGAGCAACCAAGCTCAGGAGGGACTTGGCTCGTCATTGGGTTTTCACGCAGTGCTATCATGTTTACTGTTGCGTTTTCCAATGCTGTTGGGTTTGTGAATCGAGGTCAAGCGGTTCTTTTCTGCACGCAACCTGCATTTTCCATTTTCTCTTGTCCACATAACTGCCGCCAGGAAGACGGATTCGACAGCCTCCGATTTTCACTTTCCACCTCCTTCACCAGCGCCAGCAGAATCTCTCCTTGCATCACTTTGCAAACAGCAACGCATGTTGTTTACCCTTCTAATTATGCAGCTGTTTTCGCCGTGAAAATCAGCTGCAGAGCTTCCAGTATCTTCTGGTGACTGAGGATGAATTTGATGAAGGGTCGAGGCATGTTGTTCCTCCACCATCTCCAGCCAGTGCAGCATTCCGACCCCAAGTGGAAAAGGCGCGTGAGTTTCTGTCGTTTTTCCATGTTTCTCCTTGCGTCTCCTGCAATTTTTTTTGCCTTTTCTGCCACATACACACTGCAAACATTGCAAACACTGCTCAGTGTGCCATCTCGCAGGGCGTCAAATACATCGTTGTCTCTGGTGGTGTGTGCAGCTCGTTGGGGAAGGCGTTGGCATTCTGTGGTCTTATCATTCTTATCATAGACTGAGTGACTGATAAATTTCAGGTCTGAATCGCATCAGGCCACAGATCTCAGAGAGTTTGGATTTTGCAACAGAACCACCATTGTGAGAGACTGTAATGTGGCCAGGGGGTAGCAACGTCTTCAATTGGGGCGCTGTTGCGAGGGCACGGCTTTCGGGCACATGACTCAGAAGTTCAGCAGTTGACGCGCTCAAGGCGTTTCACGCCCTTAAACAGCCGCAGGGAGCTGCATTTTGAACTCTGCGCAGTGGATTGCATTCGAGGTCACAGCCATAAAACTGGACCCATACATCAACATAGATGCTGGATTGATGAGCCCGACATTTGGCTGCATTGTGGGGGCAAGTTGAGCACACGACACGTGAGCAGTGCAGCGCGTTGTGGCCTAAAACTTGAGCTGCTTGAAACTCAGGTACGAGCATGGCGAGGCACCAGAGAGTACATATGACGACCCATTCTTTGTCACTTTCGTAGCAACTGATGCATGTTTCCAAACACTTCTAAACATGCAGTAATATTATGACGCATTGTAGGGGTAATGCAATTGCAACAGGAACAAACCTCAGAACGGATTTCAAGATATTTGATGTATACTTGAGCCGGTCTCAAAAGCGTCCCTTCATCATTTTTTGTTTTTTTACCCATGTTGTTTTGCGCTTGTTCAGGTGTATGTGCTGCTTGGCTGGAATCCTTGCAAACACATATATAATCCCCGTCTGGTGGTCCTGGCTGAAAAGGGGGGAGCTCTACCTCAAAAAATTAGCCAGCTGCAACTGTTACCTGACACTCGTACCCATGGTTTTCAGCCAAGCCCCAGATAGCATCATTTCTGAGAAATAGAGTTTCAGGATGCAGTTGATCATGTGTTCATGCTATGTTGGTTCCACAGTTTTCAGCCACAGCTCTACTCGATTCCTTATATTTCTATGCTGACCTCAGATCCATAGTTTTCATCCAACAACATTGGGAAAACAGACACATCAACCAAGAGGTGAATCCCAAGTTTCCAGCCATTGCGCAATAAATCCTAGGGCCTAGGGTTTGAGACTTTGCAGTGTTCAGGCCATTGGATTCCTGAAAAGTCAGCGTGGGAGAAAATAATTGTTTTACAATTTACAATGACCTTGTTGAGACAAACCATCAACAAGACAAATCGTTTCACAATGGACTTGTTGAGTTGAAATCCTGGAAATGTGCTTCGCGCCACAACGGCGTACACTTTTTCGACCTCTCAACTCCCAAAAGTGGTCCCCACCTGGTGCGTTTAGCGCATTTTGACTTGCAAATGTGCTTCGCACCACAACGGCGTGCACTTTTTCGACATCTCAACTTCCAAAAGTGCTCCGAGACCCAGGTGTTTTGTACATTTTCGCTTGGAAATGTGCTTGGCGCCACAACGGCGTGCAATTTGTCATCTCTCAACTGGCCAGCTGGCTCCGCAACCGCCGCTTTAGCGAGCCTACTTTTCGACCCTCCGGAGCCGCAAATCACTGGAAAGGTTTTGTCACGTAACTTGCGAGTGAACTTGCTGCCAACAATGAAATTGTTGAGATGAAATCCTGGGGTCTGAGGTTTTGACATGTAACCTGTAAGTGAACTTGCTGCCCACAGTTAAAAACTTGTTGAGACAAACCATCAAGAAAGCAAACCGTTGCACCATGAACTTGTTGAGACAAACCACTCCAGAGGTGAATCCGAGGTTTCCAGCCATCGCGCGCTTTTCAAGCATCAGATGTTTTTTTCGAAAAAAAAGTTGAAAGCTTCAGATGCAAGGTTTTTTCAGTTGAAAAAAAGAGTTGAAAGCTTCAGATGCAAGGTTTTTTTCCGAAAAAACAGTTGAAAGCTTCAGATGCAAGGTTTTTTCGAAAAAACAGTTGAAAGCTTCAGATGCAAGGTTTTTTTCGAAAAAACAGTTGAAAGCTTCAGATGCAAGGTTTTTTTTAGTTAAAAGCTTCAGATGCAAGGTTTTCTCGAAAAAACAGTTGAAAGCTTCAGATGCAGGGTTTTTTTTCGAAAAAGCAGTTGAAAGCTTCAGATGCAAGGTTTTTTTCGAAAAAAAAGTTGAAAGCTTCAGATGCAAGGTTTTTGTCGAAAAACCAGTTGAAAGCTTCAGATGCAAGGTTTTTTTCGAAAAAAACAGTTGAAAGCTTCAGATGCAAGGTTTTTTCGAAAAAACAGTTGAAAGCTTCAGATGCAAGGTTTTTTTCGAAAAAAAAAATGAACGCTTGAGAAACAGGATGTGAAAGATTCAACAGGATGTGCGTGTGTTGGCCTGCATCTCAGGTGCCTATGATTTCAGCCACTTGAAACATGTAAGTTGTAAGTTGCAAGGTAACCTCACATCCCCTAGTTTTCAGCCACGGGAACATATTAGTACTTTTCCTACTTTGGCTAAATTTTTGGGGTTGGGGTCATGTTTCCAGCCCATGGCTTTCAGTCTTGGTACCTACCCTTTCAGCCAGCATATTGGCTGGAATGGGGGCTGTAGACCCTAAGAATTCCATCCATCGGGGATCATATATAAGATAATATGCTTGTTTTTTTGAGATTTTGAGGGCTGTTGCATTTGCAGTTGATAAGTGGCTACTGAAAAATATTTACCCTTGCTTGAGGTTAGATGACGGTGGAGAAACAGACTTGGATTTGGGCAACTACGAGCGGATGATGTACCTTTCCTTGGGGAGGCATGGTTTTATTTGCACATTTTGGGAAGTGAACTCGCAATGAGTTGCCGGCTGCAGGGACAACAACCTCACGACTGGCAAGATTTACGAGTCAGTCATTAAGAAGGACTTCTTGTTTCGTAGCATAGATCCGCAAATTTGTTCAAGATTGTTCAAGCCTATGTGAGTGTGTTCGCTCTGGTGTTCGTACACCGACTGTATAGAAAGATGTCCGGCTGCAGGAACGTGAAGGAAAGTACTTGGGCAAGACCGTGCAAGTGGTTCCACACATTACTGGTGCGATTGTAGAGTGGATCAATCGTGGCAAGACTGCATTAAGACGTGCGCATTTTGCTTGCGAAGTAGCAGCATATTGGAACGAGTTTCAGCAAATCCTCAATCTCATTGAAGCAGCACATCAAAGCTTGCACAAAGTAGGGGGTCTGGTGACAAGAGGTATATCAAGACTAAAGCATGCAAAGAGGAGGGTTCAAAGTAAAACAAAGACTCAAGTAGCAAGCGCCAAGCACTTGCCATTGCTGATTGTGGCAAGTTTCACAAGTTTGAGTTTCTTTTTTCGACTTGGAAATATGTTTGAACCAATCTAAGGTGTAGCACAGCAATCTGTGGATAGTTCCGGCTTGCCACCACAGATTTGTGCTTTGGTTGACAGTGAGTAGTGAATGATGATGTAGGACCGCGAGCAGAATTGTCATGCACCATCCACAGAAGGGGGCTTGCGATGGCTTGTGGAGAGTTTGTGGATGTTTGTGGGTGATCCGTTCGCAGTGAGAATGTAGCAGGATGTAGCAGGTGCAGAGAAGTCGTCATAGGTTGCCGGTGCCCTTTCAGCTATTTTCAGCTTGTACCTACCAGATCCTACCAGGATATCCAAACTCCGTTTCTTGAGGCATGATCGAACTTGGCGGTACTATCGGTGACATCGAGTCCATGCCGTTCATAGAGGCCTTGCGCCAATTGAAGTTCCAACTCCCTGAGAAGCTGGGAGGCAAGTTGACGCAAGAATGACTTGTTGAGACACAGGAAAAGGTAAAGTCATGGAAAGTCACAGTCAATGTAGACATGTGGAGATTCTCAAGACTTGAGATTTAGCAAATGGAGTAGTCCTGGGATGTCAATGTGCGGATTCAATTCAGCTCTGTCCAAGGAACTCACTGGCATGGTGTCACTGCTCTTACATTCCGAGACTTGCTGGCTCTTGGTGTTTTCACTAGTACGAAGCGATCGCCGTGAAATCTCATGATATTATGACAGCATCAAGACCTAGATTCGTCAAGCGTCAAGCGTTGAAGTTGGAAATAGTCTGAAATAGTATGAAATAGTATAAAATAGTGGCAATTTCATGGATTTTCATAGAATTTCATGAAATTTCTGAAGGAACATGAGCGGGCAGAAGACCAAGCCAACGCAGCATTCGGCTTCTTGGCTGAAACTTGTCCAGGCTGACCAGTACTTTTCTGCCTATTCGCTGTGGAAAGTCGCATGGGTTGAGAACATTTGAGAACATTTGAGAACAGTATAGAACATTTGAATCATGTTTAAAAATGTTGGCATCTTTTTTGCGTCCTTGTTTTGCTATTTGTATATCTCGACATACATGCAGATGCTGCAGGGTTACAGCATGTTACGATGTGGCAGGTGGTTGGGGTTGTCAGCGTTCTGGGAGATTTTCACGGGGGTCGGACTTTCCAAAGTTGTCGCCTTACTCTGATCTTGATTTGTTTAGAGCCCCGTCGCATGTGGCGTTCTGTTTTCTTATTCAATTCTTCATGATCACTTCTCAACGGGTATGCGAGTCTGTGATTGTTTCCACCGTCATCTCAGCACAGAACTTGATGGCTCTCAATCTTGGTTGGTTTGGTTTGGCCATCTCGAGAAGTAGTTAAACGTTGACCTGTCGTGTTTGGAGTATCTACCTGCAAAAAAGACATACAACAACGGAAGAAAAAGATACAGGAGGATATCTTGCGTCCGCTAATTTTGGATGGTTGAAGACACACACACACACATGCGCAAAGAGAACTATACAAAAAATGTCGTCTAGAGTACCCTCACTTGGCAGGGGTTGCGGGTTGTGAGGCTAGCCTCTCTTAATGCCTAGTGGCAGTTCCAATATGATATGCCGTACAAAACGGAAGTAGTTTTGGGACTGTGGTGTTGGGCAGCAAGACTTCAAGAGGAACTTAAAGTGGCCTCTCTTTGTAAGTTGTACTTCCGTTCCAAATAGCTTGCCACCCCGGCGTTGAGTGTGGTTTTCATGTTGTTCCAATTCCACTTGGAACAGCCAAGGTGAAAGCTTTGCTGGGGCTAGGCGTGTCAGTGTTATGCAACTTGCTGCTTCCTCACATCACAATTTTGGCACAGGAGTGCAGCCGGACATGATCATTTGCAGATGCCACCAGCTTAAGTGCCGTACAAAATTTGCCATACCTTGCAAAGGATTGATGAATCACAAGCATGCCAAGGTCCAGATCCAGTCCTGGAGGAAACTAGGAAGAAGATTGCCAACCAGTCGCGACCTAAGCCAATGTCAAACTCGGGTTGCAATCTAAAAGCAAAGAACTGAGTTGAATTGAGATCACTTGGGCATTGAACTAGATAACAATCAGATACAATCAGTGGTCCAAAGTCAAGTAAATGACATCGTTCCTTAAGAATGCTTTTGCGCGTTGCAATTCACAACTTATTTGGCTGCAGGTGTGCCATTCAGTCTGGCCGAATTATCAGTGCTCATGACGTGGCAAATCTTTTCCACGTTCCAGGTCCCTCAGCTGACGTTCAACATCGTTCAACCATTTTCCATCATTTTCCCAAGTGGCCAATTAGGAGATTTCAGGCAGACTGGAGATTGGCAGATTGCACATGATTGCACCGTCTGTACTTCCAGGCATTTTCGCCCAGCAGCACATGGTTGGAATGCTAAATGGCCTGCTCCACTTGGACGATTTGCATGACTTTTGGCAAGATATATAAGTGATTCCGAGTTCACTGTTTGAAGCACTTGGAAGTTTTGTCAAACACTCACAACATTGCATTGATGTTGTTTCATTGGCCCAGGTCGCGAAAAACAGCCACTTGGCATGGAGATTCTTGAAAGCCTGGTTGCAATTCTGAATCAAGCATATCTATGAATAAACCGATAAGATAAATAAATGAATCATTAGATAAATGAAAATAAACACTATATCAATAAACAAATAAGCCACATCTATATATTAAACATGTATATAATATATTATATGTGATATTAGTATACAGTATCTATTAGTACTATTATTAATATAGAGTTGGAAATCGTAGTGCTTCTCTCGCCAGGTATGCCTGGCAGCGGCAAGAATTTGCGCACCTTGAACGACTGGGAAAAATTCGCCAAGCAGGTGGATCAGGCCAAGAATTCCACGGTGTACCCCTGAATCCACATATAATCCACATTAATTATCGCAATTTTCATCCATTTTCCGAAAGATATTAAAGTAACCATTTGGGATCATTTGGGATCATTTGGCGGTATATGGTAGAGCGTATCTCAGACACCCATTTCATGACATGTGAATACATTTGACACTTTGATCAATAGCTGGGCTTTGTGTCATCCCAAATTTCTCACATTTGTCCAACAAGAAGAAAGCAAAGGTAGGATCATCCTATCGATAGAAAAAAAATGGTATTACCGTGGTTGATATTTGCAGTCCCTTGCTTGCATATGGATGCATATGCGTTTATTGAGTATAGCTGGAGGATTTGTACCACGCCTAGAGACGGCAATAAACCAGGCAGAAGCTGCCATGCCAGTGACCATTGCCTTTGTTGGCAAATACAACAAAGGCGGTGAGAACCTTGGTCCAGCGGAGAAGTTCTATCAATTTCCTTTCAGGGTCTGGATCCACATATTTTCCAGCATTTCCCTTTGTTTCCCACTGCAGATGAGCCCCATGTGCTGAGATTGTACGAAATTGCACAATGTGACAAGAACACTCCAAGGTGGAGATGCATACCAGTCCGTCGTGGCTGCGCTCAATCATGCAGCGGTGGCTGTAACTCGAACCCCGACTTCGTTTAAACTGGCGCACAGCCAATGTCGGAGCAGCTGGTGATTTGAAGATTCAATGTGATTCCCACGTTTGAAGCCCATTATCAATCAAACACGTGCGATTCACTTGCAACTGTGCGAGGAAAGCTGAAAATTGTTGACGGCTTAGCTTTTGTTGCATTTGAGCGCCCACCGCTGAAGTCCGGTTACACAGTTTTGCCAGAGTCACACAATGCGCATGTTTTAAGACAGGTTGGATGTGGTTGGATAAAATTGCGCAATATTGTGCATCTTTGTTCCTGGTTCGTTCCTGATTCGTTCCTGGCCCCCTTTGACATCCTTTGACATGTCTTGAAGTGACTGTCAGGAATGGATTGATGCAACACACCTGGAGCTGCCAAGCAAAGATGCGAGGAATTACGAGGAGCTGATGAGACGAGCGCAGGAGGCGGAGGCAAGGGCGATCAATGACCCAAGGATTCAGACAAGTCCAGTAACTCCAGTATGGTTTCTCTTTGTTCCACAATTGTTAAATTGTGTGTCGGTATGTGTCACATGCTCATAGCATCTCATAGCGTCCCTATGTGTCACGGAGTTTTTTTGCAGATTCTTCGGTGTCTTGCCATACCAAGCAAGTACGACTCATGAACCAGGCCCTTCTCAAAGCCGCAGATGGCGTGTTTGTTCCCGGAGGCTTTGGCGATCGAGGTGCCGCAGTTGGCAGAATCTATCCATCCATGCATCCATCTATCTACCTATCTATTATCTAGCAATATCTAGCAATATCTAGCAATATCTAGCATTGTTTCCTTTAACTGACCTTGAACATCTCTGAACCCTGCAGGTGTCGAGGGAAAAGCACGCGCGGCCAGCCTCGCGTACTGGGCTAAGCATGACATGATCTCCTCTCCAATAGGTCAGACAAGTGGTGAAAGCATGTCTCATTCCAGAAATACTCCCTGACTGTGTCGCCTTTTTTGCCAAAACGATTGGTCCAGTGGGAATGGTGGGACCTTGGCATACAAGGCGTGAATGGAAGAAGCCCTACCTGGGAGTTTGCCTCGGCATGCAGGCCTTTACAGCCTTGACAGCCTTGACACTTTCACATCTTTCACCGACAAACAAATTCGAAGTAACGAGCAACTCGACGCTCGAGTCGCTCGTGTTTGACAACGCTGTCAAGTTTTGTCAAGTTGGCTTCGGATTGCTTCGGTGCAGCAGGTGGCTCTCATAAGCTTCGCAAGAGATGTCCTGGGAATAGCTGATGCTACCAGCGAGGAGTTCGATTCTTTCAAAACGTCTGGATCTTACATATTCTTACATTGTGTTACCATGGCTAGCAGCTTGCAATGGCTTAGCAATGTCTTAGCAGTGGCTTAGCAGTGGCTCCTTGCTGAACATTTTGCTCTGGCATGCTCTGGCATGCTCTGGCATGCTCTTAGCAATGTCCCGGCGATATTGGCTCTCCTTGCGCCAGGTCGAAGAACCACGTCATTATTTTCATGCCTGAAATATCCAAGGACGGAATCTGACACAGCAAAGACTTGGCAGATCTTGGTGTTCATATGGTGTTCATCAATGTTCATAATTAATTCAATGAATGTTCATCAGTGATTCATCAGATTTCATCAGAGGAAACCATGGGTGCCAACATGAGACTGGGTGCTCGATACGTGGAGTTTACGAATCCAGAGAATTCCTTGGCTTCATCCCTCTATGGATCCTCGGCACATTTCTTTGAGTACAGAGCAGCACCAAGACACGTTGAGAAATTTGAGAGTGTGCAAATATATACAAAGATGTTTAATAAAAATGATCAAATATGATCAAGCAATCAAATATGTGTTTTACTCATTTTTACTCTATCGTTTCTTGCAGCGCCATCTCAGGTCGTGCATGTGCATTTGTACACTAATGGAATTTCATCGAACTCACACAGTCCCATGCGACACTAAGGTGGTCAACAGCGCGTCATGGAGCGCCATCGGCATCGTGAATGAGTTGCACCAAGAGCATGTCATCCACTGCCAAACAATTATACACAGTAAATATATCATAATATATCCACATATATATATATCCACTTGTGATGAAATCCCATAATATCCATTCAGAGTGATTAAGAATCTACAAATATCTACAACATGCCAAACATGGACATGTTTTTGGTTCAAAGTTACTGTAGCTGACAACCAAGGCTATGAGTTCAACATTGCGTACAAAGAGCGCATGGAGAGCAAAGGTTTGATCTTCTCGGGCCAAGATGAGACCAAGGAGATGTCCAACATCCTTAGCATATCTTAGCATATCTTAGCATATCTTGGCATATCTTGGCATATCTTGGCATATCTTGGCATTGGGATTCCACATTGATTCCACGGAAGTTCCACGCGGTTTTTGTTTTTTGTTTGGATTTATGATGTGTTTGGAATGTTCTTGGCTATGTGGAACTTGCAGGAGCGAATGGATATCATAGAAATGTCGACAAAGGACGCTTGTGGCGAGTTGAGCTGTGTTTGGAAGTTGTAATCAGGAACGCTAGCGGTAGCTAGCTGGCTTCTTGCTTTAGAAAATCAATCCAGGTGTTTGGGTGCGGCTGCATTGTCAAACGCGTGATGCTTCATGGGCTCTGCCCATCCCTAGCGTGCGCCTCATAATCTGATCATACTAATATATGACCATAGTTGTTTCCTTTCAGCATTTGAGGACTGTAAAGATATATATATATATATAAAGATATTTAGGCGGACACGTCTTGAAATTGACTTTGAAAAGCCTGGAATCCCTTGGCCATGTTCCTCACGAGCCAATTTCAACACAATTGTGCATAGGCTAAGGCAATCTAAGACATCAATGTGCTCTTCATGTCAGCATGGCGCAGCAGCCAAGATGTTCATTGATGCTTGTACTTTTCCACTTCGGATATTTCACCTTGTCTCGATTTCGTTTGCCATCCCTTGGACCTCAAGTTTGTTTGTTTACTATTCGGTTACTATCGGGAGTTTTGACTCGTATCTATTTCATTCTATTTCTTCAATGTCTTTTTTAGGTGTCAAGGAGCAAGCACGATGGTTGCAGTTTCTCGTCGGAGCAACATATTTTTGCTGACCTGATTCGTTCAGGAGCATCCTTTCTTCATGGGCGTGCAGTACCATCCTGAGTACAAATCGCGTCCTGGAACGTCCGGCTCTTGGAATATGATATCGATGATATAGCATATATGCATTTGATATCATTTGATTCTGTATCTAGAATACAAAGGCATGTCTGAAGTTCTGCAACCAACACGTCGCAAAAACGTTGTGCACTTAGGCCATCGCCAGCCTTCTACGGCCTCGTGGCAGCTGCGAGCAATCCGAAGCAGGCCAGAAAGTAGAGATGGCCGTATAGGCCATCAGATCGAGGCAGTCTGGGATTCTCCTTGATCTTCTTGAATTCAACAGAATGGTTTCTCGAATCTTGAATGTATTCCCAAGTTGATCAGGTGGATGAGATGCTCTTAAAATGCCGCCCTCACCTCAGCTTGGCAGAGACGCTGATGCTGGAAAATTGCAATGTTTGCAACTTTGTTCTCCTCTGTTTCTCGTTTTGGTAGTACTAGAATTGATAGAATATATCTGAGAAATTCCCAGGGGTCACTCAGTCACTCTCTTTGACCACCAAAATCCCACAGCGGATTTGCAAGGTCGAGAGGGCCGCAATGCGCACTGGACGCCTTTCATGATTTGATAGGCCATAGATTCCATAGATGGCCTTGTTTTCGAACGGGTGAGATCAAGAGTTCCAGGTTCCTGTGGGGTACGGCCTGGTAGTCTCTTGAAAGTTGCCAGTCCTGTCTAGAGACTGTCAGTCTCAGCGAAAGTTCTGGTAGCCTTGGGAAGCTCTCATTGCCGAAGCAATGCAGCGAGTGGCAGTGGAAAGCACTTTGCGCCGCGGTCAAAGTCCGGAGCCTTCGCTCTGGGCACCATAAAAGTCGAAACATAGTAACATAGGGCAGCATGATGCCTCTTCAAAGGTCCTATGGGTCCTATGGGTCCTATGGTGGCAACTAATGCATTTCATGGTTTCAGAATGCTTTAGAGACTTTAGAGATCCGTTTGACATCCTTCTATCTGATTAACTGCCGTGGCACACTGCTGCCTAGTTTGCTCTACTTTCAAGAGAGTTCCGTTCTGAAGCGTTGTGCAGAAGTACGCTACGGGGCCATGAAGACCACCAATGAACTGCGCAGACTTTGCCAGACATGTGATCTCAAACAGATTGTGATGAACCTCGACGTTTCAAGGCACCTTCTGAGCTTTTGCCACGTGATGTCACCAAGTGATGGATTGCTTTTGATGAATTGCATCGCCATACATTGCCATTTTGTTTGGAATGCCTTGGACATGCTGGTCATGTTTGAGCAACTCGCTGTACAGTTCATATATCTACGGGCACCGGCGTGGATCTGGTGTGTCATTGCTCTTGTAAAGTGTCGCGCTGCACATTAGACTGCTTAAGCCGCGCGAGATACCAGCATAGCTGGAACTCGGCTGCAGTTTCAACTGGGTACTTGAGCAAACAGACATCAGACGATTTTGATTTAAAAACAAAGTCACTTCAATCACCCAGTCTGCTGTCCCCACGAGAACCTCACATGATGTGAAGCGTCATGCTGATGGTATTCAGATTATCTTAGTTTCGCTTGTCGATTTGCTTGTCGATAGTTACATAGACGCCTGCCTTGACTGATTTTCCATGGACGGAGACGTTTCGTAGCTTTTCAGTCCGTGTGGGGAAGTGGGGCAGTAAACCTATGGGAAAAGAGAGCCAGTTGTGGCGGTGGCAGAGCTGTAGGAAGATTTTAGATCTGGGGGTCATAGGGTCAGATAGTAGCGAAGTAGCTGACAACTAACAAGAGCAGTACTACTCCTCAGACCAAAATTTTACCAGCTTCCCATCCGTTGCCCTCCAGCCTTCCGTCTACTACATACTATGCAATGTAGATATGTAGATGGACAATGTATAATATATACAATATATACTGTATGATATATATTGATATATATATAGATATATATGTGTGTGTGTGTCATGTCTAATGTCTATAGCCTATAGTGCATAGAGATGCATAGAGTGTTTGTGCACCCTTTACACGTGTGTACTGCTTGGAGTGCTTGCTGATTCTCAGGCAGAGAAGAGCCCAAGGCCTGAGAAAATAACCAAGCTGTTGGAAGATGTTGGAAGTGTTTTGTGTCCAGAAACAGATCAATTGAGATATGTGTCATAGATTCAACATAGCTCCATTTAAATGCCGTATATCCAAATAACATATGTATATATATGAAAGCGTCAACTTGATTTTGACAGCTAGCCAGGGGCGCTCGATCCTAAATAGAGTGGAATGAACATCAAATGACAATTTGCATTGGTCCCCAGTGTTTTACTGGTAAAAGACCATTCATGGAACCTATTTAGCGAGACTCGGGAGGAAACAACTGTTGGAAGTGTATGTGAAGTGTGCGCAGTTGATCAGAGTGGAGTCATTCCTTCCTTTCGTCGCTTCTTCTCCGACAAGAACTGTTCATCATACACAATTTTCCATTTTTGACCCAGGGACAGGAATAACCAGAATTGGCCCTTTTCATGTGGTTTTGTGAGAGGATTGGCTAACATTGCACCACCATTGACCCAATGTATGGACGTTTCACTACGTTCCAGGTTTTGTCGAAGACTCAATGCTTCCAGAGCAGCTCTGCGTTCTGCACCCTTTACTGTTGGTGTTGCCCTAGTGATTCGGTCAAAAACATTTCTTGAATCGGAAATAAGAAGGCCCGCCGTCCTCAATGTTGAGACATCAACCTCTCGCAGTTCTACCTCATGTCCTTTCATCTCATTCCAGAAGATCCGCAAATAGGATAGCTCATCTTCCCCGTCCAATCCTGCGGCAGTTTCGGCGCAGCCCGGGGATCTACAAATTCTTTCAATTTTCGATGACTTCCAGTGAATAGGAGTGACCTTCTCTTCATAACCCTGTCGTAACTTTGTCGAAGTCATTCCCACAAAAATTCCTTCAGTTGAGTCTGTGCCATTGGGTCTGTTGGCCCAACCAGCATCTGTCCAGCAAGCAAGTTCTAGTTCTTCGTCTGGTAAAAAGGCATGAATTTTGTATTTTGTGTCTCGAGTCTTTTTGATATCCCTCACCAGTTTGTTTGTCTTCAGGAGTTCATTCACTGTTGCCACAGGGATGGAGGTGATCAAAAAGTTCACATCAGCAGAATAAAGAAAACATGTTTGTCCACATAGCCATGAAATACTACCCAGAGCACCTCGTAATTTCCGTCTCTCCTCTTCAGTGACCGGTGCGTCCGGCATGCGAGAACGATCTCGTGAAATGTAAATCTCCTCTAAATCATCAATGTATTTTGTTTGGGAAATTTCAATAGAAAAATCTTCCAGCTGATGAACTTCAATTCCGCATTGAACAAATTTTGTTTCTTCCCAGCTACCCCATTGAAAACGTTGTTGTAGTTGATCCATAAGGTATTTGTGAATAGAACATTCTGGGCTACCACCAAACATCAAATCGTCCACGTGAGAATGAACTATCGACCGCACTGTTCCTGATTTGTCCCGGAAAATCCAGCAGCATGGTTCCACTTGTAATCGAGAATATCCCAGCTCGACCAAAGACTCATGAATAGTATGATACCATTGTAATGGGGCTTGAACCAACCCATATGCTGCCTTTCGCATTTTCAATGGAGTTGCTTCTGGAACTCCCAAAGCTTCTGAAATTTCTCGAACAGGTCGGCACCAAAGTTCTTCTTCAAGAGGTTTACCTTGCAAAAAGGCGCCCGATATATCCCCTTTGGATATCCTAAACCTTTTCCAACTACAATACTGCCAAAATAATTGTCGACCAGATCTTGTAGGGGTAGGAGCTGATGTAGGACGGGAGGCATATGAAGGGTCTTGATATCCTAAAATCACCCCGCGTGCTTTGGCCTTGCGGCCACCAGGATATTCATCTCCATATTTCCATGTGAGTAGCCACCTCATTCCCAGTGTTTTGGACTCCTCAAACCCTCTTTCTCTTGCAATCTCAAAACAACCTGATTTCACAAAATTTCTCACCTCAATCTCCTTTGCTTTCTGAAACTGCTGTGCTTCTGAAGGTGTAAGAGTCCGCTCATGGACTTCAACTTGGCGTTTCTTCAATTGTGTAGCTACAAATGTTTCGGGGTTTTCAAAGAATTTCTTGATGCCCCTCCGTGATGTTGGAATTTCCCATTCTATCTCCATAGCTAAACAATTCTCCTCCTTGGCATAGAAGAGCTCGGCACCAGCCTCAGTGGAATAGTCTGCCCGAGGTTCTTTTGGTCGACGTTGATCACCTGAGCCAGATGGTTGTTCAGCATCTCTTTTGAAGCCCCTAGCTGGTTCTATCTCCATTGGACTAAAACCCTTGTGTCTCATCCGACGAGTAGGAACTGTCTCTGTAGGATCTTCATGTTCCTCTGTTGCTTCTTCCCATTGTGCGTCTGACGGGATCTCTTTGGTCACGTCTTGATACGTTGCTCTGTCTTGATGAGTTGCTAATGCCGTAATAGTCCAAGGAAGTTCGATTGGTCCAGCTAGAGATTCTACTTGTTGCTCATATGGTGATGCTTTCCGGAGTTGTTCAGGTACTGTTTTGATCAGTCTACCATTTCTGTGAAGCCAAACAATATGACCAGGACGGAGTTCTCCAGTGTTTTCTCGCCGTGTTTCTGTCGCTAAAACCCGTGCTGGTCCAATGAATTTCCCAGTTCTTTGAGTGGTCTTCTCTTTTAGGGGTACTTGATTACGCCAGTAATAAACTAAATCTCCAGGAAGATACACTTCAGCTCGGCGTCTTCCCATTCTCAGTGCCCTTTCTGTCCTTCGAAGAGCTTGCTCTTCCAGAAATGCTTTCTCCGCCTCCAGACGCATCTCCACATCGTTGGTGAAGCCACCATCCTGCAGCATGTCGCGGCAAATGGGAATTTGATTGTCACTCTTGAAAAACCTTCCAGCATCATCAGGAGCTTTTCCCATAATACGTTGAATAGGTGTAAACCCTCGCACTGAATCCATGTTGTTACTTGTCCATGTTGCTCGTGAGACCAACTCTTCCATGGATAAATGTGAGAAACTTTCCGCCAACTTGTCCAAGACCCCCTTTAAGCTTTTGATAGCGCCCTCTACGATTCCAATCTGGTAGTGGGCTTCTGCGGGAATTGGAACCAGTTCAAAATTTTTCTCCAGGGCGTACTCTTCCGCCTCTGTGTTTTTCCAGGGGCCGGCAGGATCAACTCGGAGAGTTTGAGGATAACCAAAAAGACTAAACCAGTTTTCTTCCAAAACCTTCTTCATCATGACCCAAGTCGTTGGTTGACCCTTCCCTGTAGAAACCCATCGAGCCATACGAAACCGACTGCCCTCGTCGATGATGACCATCACGTGGTGCTTGTCACCTGAGTGCGGGTGGACCCATGTGGCTATGTCAGCCTGGATTCTTTCTCCCTTTTGAGGCACTGTTTCCAGGGTTGCGAATCTCCTAGGATCCATTCTTTTGCGAGCTTCACATATTGTGCATCTGAACTTTCGAGCTTCTTCCAAAACCTTTGGGGTGCTACCACGTTTTTCCAAAGCCTCAACCAATACCTTGAGACTGCCATGACCTGTACTCTGGTGTATCTGTTGGATCTTCTTCCGGATCTCTTCTCTCTCTTGTTTCTCCTCTGGAGTTTCTCCAACTTCTTGCATCTCAGCATCAGAGTCGGCTGCCTCGACTGGATATGCTGTCTCCTGGTAGTGCATCTTCTTCTGAAGCTCCTCGACAATACGAGACCAGGTTTCATTCACGGTCAGACAGTCAATAACTCTTCTGGCAAAAGGCTCTGTGTAGCGCGCGGTGTGTGTAGTTTGACCTCCCTCGCATTTCCCTTTCCTGTGGTTGCGTTGGCATCGTAAGTTCATATGTCGGAGAAGATGTGAATCTTTTGAAGCAATGGACCATCCTTTGCACAGAGCTAGTTTTCCATCTCTAGTCCTCAAACCCACTGTGCAGCCGTGGCAAGTCACCTTTTCCAATCCGTGTTGAGAGAGGAACTCAGTCATTTCTGGAAGTGACCAAGCTTCGCAACGCTCGGAAAGTTCCCAATGAATTTGGGTGTTGAGAGACTGTGCATGCTGTGCTACCTCCATTGCTCCTCTATACTGTACTCTGGCCTTGTTCTGTTTCTCTTGAAGTCTAACTTGCTGTTCAGGAGTACGTTGATTTAACCGTTGAAGAGGACAAAATGGAGCACAATCACAAGCTATCCAAAGGTGAACAGGCCGGAAGATGTCAAGCATCCTCTTGGCATGGCTAATACCTTCAGGGGTTTCCAGATCTCCCCCATTCCAAATGCTACATCGAATTGCGGAACCCTTTCCAAATCTTCTCTCCACTTCATTGCAAAGGCGGCTATCAGGAAAACAAGCTAGTTCCATCAACAGGGGTCTTTTGTGTTGAACTAGAGATTTCCATTGCTCACTGAAAGGGTTCTGCTGCACATGCCATCCCTTGACTATCTTCACTTGGGTCTCTTGAGGTAGAGGTGCTTCTGCGCATTGTTCTCTCACATCTCCTTGCGGTTCTTGTGGCTGTACTCCCCGGTGGCTTTCCGGAGTTGTGTCTCTGCCTCCTCCACCTCCGCTGCCTGCTTCTGAATCTTTTGCTTCTCGAGCTCTAGAAGAGCCCATTGACGAGCCAGTTCCTGAGCTTCCTGGTTGGGCTCTGGTGTTTCTGAGATCATGCTGAAGCTGGTGTCGCTGGCTGTGTCTTTCAGCATAGTCACACCTCTGGTTGAGATCTTGGAGTTCTTGGCGCTCTGGAGGACTTGCATTTGGGCCTGTTGCATCTCGGCCCACCGGTGAAGACGAAGGAGTCTCCAATGGGGATTGTCCGACTCGAGAGCTGTCGTCTTGATCCACTGGAGGTATGAGGGATGCTGGGAAGCCACTTGCTGATAGGTGAGATTGGCGTACTTGCCGAAAGCGACAAGCTCTTGATCGTGGGGCTCGAACTTTGCATAAATTGTTTTCTCCCCCAGTGCCACCATTTGTGCGATGGTCATGTTGTCTGTCACAGTCACATTGTGTGCCGCCATAAAGTTCACCAAGTCGGACTTCTTCCGAGCTGCCTTTCTCATCATCTTCAGTGTGTCCCCCAACTGATTCCCTTTCACTCCCTCTTCGCCTTTCTCCATCTTGATCTCTGCCCAGAAGCTTTGCAGCTGAATCACTGTCCATGAAGTCGGAACCTGGTAGCCCTCGTCCAGGATGCGCTTCACCCACTCGGCCTTGTTCTTGGGTTCCGGCATGCTGAAGGGTGACTGGATACACCGGCTGGCAAGAGGTCGAAGCTTTTGAGTCAGAAACTGTTGATGTGTATGCATGTTGTGGGGTGTGTGAGTGGAACGTTTCACAATTGAAATCCTGAGTCTCTGAACAAAAACTACAAACGCCGTCTAGACACGCTTCCAAGCTGCACACTGCACATGCTGAAAAACATGTTGTGGAAACCCCAATGCATGCACCATGTTGGTCATGCGAAAAACCCTGAGTAGAGCTCCCCTGGGCACGTGTGTCCATTTCCCCAGAGGAGCGTAGTCCCTATTCAGCTAAGTGGAAAATTGGGGTGGCGCGTTTGGTGCCCCCTTCCAGCAAATTGCCGACCAAGGGCATCAGGAGATGGCCGTTATTGGCCTCTTTCAATGGGACGACTGTGTGAGGATCCACATTGGTATACACAATTTGATTATTTTTGAAATCAACAATGGCACCAAGAGATTTCAAGGCTCGGCGAGAGACTAAAATGGGTTGGCCAGGGCTGTCATGGACATGGACTTCAAAATTGCCCTTCTTGTCTCCAACATCGATACCTACCTGTACGGTGCTGAGACAGACCTTTTTCTGGCCATTCCCAAACTTGAAGGTGGGACAGCGGCTAGGATCAACTACCATCTTGCCCTTCCCGCTCTCAGCAAGGTTGGCCTCTCTCCAAGCTTCCATCGCATCAACCGATCCCAATGAGGCTGTTGCACCTGAGTCCAAGATGCCATAGGCTCCCAGGTTGAAGTTGCCTTCCTGAGTGTTCCCAAACTGCGCACTTTCTTCTTGCGTTGTCTGGTCGGGAGTGACAGTAAATGCGATCTCGGCCTCTTCTTCATGTGTCACTTGAGCTTCCTTGTTTTTCAGCGGACAGTCTCGTTGGAAGTGAGGTCCGCCACACTTGAAACAGAGAACTGACTTCTTCCCATCTCTTGTGGTAGCAGAGGATTTTTGGAAAGGCTTCGGAGGGAAAAAGCTTCGGCCAAGCTTGACTTGTCGCTGCTTCCATCTGGCTTCCTTCAGAGTAGCCTTGTGTTGGCGGATTGCCTCGAGGGCATGTTCAGCTTCTTGATCATAGGTCCAAAAAGCCTCTTGTTCTTCTTCCCCCAACATGGCTATCTCCTCTTGTGTGTAGTCCAGGTGGTATGCTTCATCCTTGCCAATGTCGCCTTCAAGAGCGACCAAGGCGCTTCCCATCCGGTGTTTGTCATGCTTGGTCAGGTCCACATCGCTCCATTGCTCCCGGAGAGCTTTTGCCACGGCCTGAGTGGTGAACTCCCCTTTGATCGCAGTGAGGATGTTGGATTTCTCCGCTGGTTCCAGACCACTGCGGTGAAGGAGAAGGAACCCCGCCAGGAACTCTGGAATGAATGGTCTTTCATCAAATTCCCATTCATGTGGAGGGTCGTATTCGGGAGATTTCCAAGACCACTGATCCCCAGACTGAGACCAATCCCATGATCTTTGCCCCCATGTCCAGTATTGGTTTTGGTGGTAAGGACCTCCTCCCTCCTCATCATCATCTTCTGCTAGCCGGCCATCTTCCCCAAAGGGATGACTGTGCTGAGAGCGCTGAGATTGACTTTCCCAGGCCGAACCCCACTGAGAAGATCTAGGTGCAGGAACTGACTTGCCCTGCTTCTCGTGCTCTCGTTGAACCCTTTGAATGGCCCTAGAGGCCTCCCACAGCTTCTCGCTGTGTCTTGCTACCCATGCTGTCATTGACTCTCCCTTCTTTCTCTCCATGTTGTAGAAAAAGGCTGTGACATGCTTGTTGGCATCTAGCAAGCTAGGTCGTTCTAACTCATCCTCCAGAAACCTCAGCAACTCATAGGCGCCCCTGGCATGACTGAGCCACTGAGGGTCCTTGAGAGTTTTCGTCCTCACCAATGTCCTGGCGACTCCGGTGAGTTCTTGAACCAACCTTGGTCCCACAAGGTATCTTTTGTGTACTTCTACTGCCATCATGTACTGTAACACTTCCTCCCTGTATGCTTGGAGCATTTCAGGAGACCCATCATAACTGGGTATTTTCCACTTTTCAGACATCTTGCCTCGCGGGCTCGAATGTCCTAGCTTTTCTTTTCCCTGGATCACTGTGTACACCTTCTAGGTTTTCACAGCAAAAAGGCTCCGGCTGCCATGAAAGCGTCAACTTGATTTTGACAGCTAGCCAGGAGCGCTCGATCCTAAATAGAGTGGAATGAACATCAAATGACAATTTGCATATATATATATGAACATATAACCATCCAACAAACAAGCATATATAATATGTGGGGCTATCATCTAGAAATCATCATCTATACATTATACATCTACAGTGTTGGTAAAGCAATTGTACACCATGCCCCGCTTTTCCAAAGATGGTGGGTGGTATAACGTGTCAAAATATTGGCGGTTTATTCTTGCTTTACTAGCATCAGAAGGAATCCTCAATAATGATAGGATGATCATATTCTATATTCCGTGTTTGGATCCTGGTACATATACATAGGGGCTATAACTACTAGTCAGAAGAACGCCTGCATGTCAACAAATTGTGAGACTAAGAACCAGCAGACGCTTTGAGTGTTGGCAACAAGACTAGCATCTGCATCCCTTGCCTGGATCACTGTATTTGATCAGGGGAGTCACTATCAAACACGCAGAGAATCCAGGTGCCGCATTCGCAAGTTAGCCGTTGTCAAAGCTCCCTTTTTCCCAATTCTATCCATATTTGGTCATGGCTCATGGCAGAATTCATCTCCAGTTGCCACAAACGTAAAACGTTTCATTGCCAAACTTGGATGGTGCTATCCTCATATTGGTTGGTACCACGCACCTTTCCCCGAGGTTACGACCCGCCCAAAAGTTTCAATTGTCACGATTCCTCATGATTTTTGCTGCTTGTATCAGAACATTTTTGATGGGGAAAACCAACTTTTCGTCAAATATACCTAATATATCCTAATATTGCCCAACCTTTTGACAATTTGTTTGGGGAAAACCAAATCCTCGTATCATCTTTTCACTTCGGATTCGGACCTTTCTAGGCGCTTGGGGCTGGGACCCTTGCCGAAGCAGTTCATGAGCCTCGCCAGTGCAGGCCGCGGTGAAAAACGCGGTGTTGGTCAAGGGTCAGCTGATTTGGGTTTATCTGAGATAGGGTACATCAAAATCCCGTAGCTTATCATGATTTTCCGTATAAAAATGCAATTTTGGTATACCCCATTTTCAAAAACACCTATTTCCCAACTTGGATGTAAGACTGTAGTCATCTAGCATCTCCAATTCTACCGCTATCGACTTATTTCTTAGTGGGTTCAAGCAGCAACGAAACGTATTGCGTTTTGAAAGATCCAGGTGGATGTGCCGTTTCTGGGCCGATTCTGTGCTCAACTAAGGGTGGCTTTGGAAAAACCATCAGGTCCCTACTAACATCAATCAAGATGCTGGCACCCAATCGCACACATCCATATTTGTTGAAGACATTGCGAGGTCTGGTTAGCATGGTTAGCTATCCCCTTTCACTTTTGGTGATGAACTCTACATACACCTATTTTACACCTATTTTTGTCATTTTTGGTCGTTTCAACTTGGAGGCACTGGAGATTTTTGATGTTCGGGTCAAGCACAGAGCAGTTGCCCACAGTAAGCTGGAATTCCTTGGATGATCCTCGCAGTGGATTGGGGATCTGCAGCGAGTTTCCAGTTGGCTCAGCCATACTGGTTCACTGAGAAGGATAGCATAGGATAGCATGGATAAAAAACTTTGCGATGTCCTCTTTGTATGTCATATTTATGGAATTCATTGCCCATCCATAGAGGTGATGCCGTTGCAGTTGGTTGATGGGAACCCATCCAGGTGCTGCCTTGGGAGACAAGGCCCAGGCAATGAGCTCGATCCGTTCCAGTCTGGTTGAGGCCAGTCTCAGTTTTTTCAGGGATTTGACCAATGGAGGGGGATCCCCAGTCGTCAACATGGGTTTGCAATAATGTCAACCCCGGATTTTGCTAAACCATGGTTTATTAATTAGGGGGGTACTCCTCCAATAGTCATAATCCAATACTTAAATGGTACCCCCCCAATCAACCAGCCTAGGGGTTTATTAATCCAGGGTTGACATTACTAAAATGGTACTGGATGATGTGACCCCCCCTTCGGACACCTGAATGCAGATGTACATATGGTATGTTCGTGAATGGGTTGGTTATCTGCGGGACCATGCGTTCAGTGTGGGACCGCATGAGGGATGAGGGTGAAGTGAGCCCATTTAGTGATGGAAAAAGACCATCAACCAGGCTTGGTAACCAACACGGCTACAGATTCAACAGATATTTCAACAGATATTCAATGAAGCAAACTTCAATAAACTCCGAAAAAATGGGGATGCTTGGGGTACGCAACCCCGTTGCAGTGATCATTGGAGGTCACCAAGTCCCAACGAATTTCTTCAAGCAGTTCTAATGCCTGGCTCTTAAAGAATGTTGCCTCGAACTCTCAAAATAGCACCTCTCATGCAAGGTCAATGCCGAAAGCTGTTGAAAATCACGGGAAATGACCAAAAACAATGGGGAGGAATGACTCTAGAACCCACTTTCTCAAGAGAGGAACTTATATGATTCAAAGAGTACTACAGTTGCAAGCCTACCCAAGTGGCTAACTTTTGGATTTATGGTTGTTTCACAAGCCCATGCTTTGCAGTACAGGCGGCGGCTGTCTTTCGGTGAAACGTGAGCGCAGTGTGCAACAAGCACGGGTAAGCAACCACAAACAATTGGGTTCGAATGATAGCAGGGCGCCACTATCAGCAGGTAGATATGATAGGGACACAATTAATACTGGTGCGGATATGAAGAAAGAAAAATTAAGCTGTACCCACTCCAAAGAGAAATGAAGAACAATCATTATGGTGGTCGAGCCAGGAACGATACCCATGGATAATTAGAATCTTTGGGTCCCATTGCAAGTTACTGAATTGAAGACCCCCATATATGTTGACCCATGAGGTTTTCCCTGTCTTGATTGGCCATCTGCACTCGTGTACAGTATACAGAATCAGCGTTGGAGAGGTGATCCATAGTTTCAATCCCACTCCCGATGCACCAGACATATTTGGTTACTAACACTGTTCGCCCATCACTGTCGGATACTGTCCTTCTAAACAACTTAAATCTGTTCATTTTCTGTGTGGAAATTCCACTGATTGATGCATCTTCTCTTCTTTGATTGCATGCATTGCATGCCTGGACCCAACTAGCCGCTACTAGCCACTGTAGCCCTCTATCGTTTGGGGTTGCACCATCTTTGGAGCTCTCCATCGCTCCGAATCGACGCAACCGCCAGTCGGCCTTTTTAGTGGTGTGTTTTCGATGGGCCCGATGTGCCTATCTTCAGGGATACTGTTGTCAGAGGAGTTCAAAGACTTTGCATACGGTATATAGGTTGTATTGATTGTATACATAATATATTGTATACATAGTATATATATATATAGAGATACATTATGTATATACACTGTTACCGGTATACATGTATACAGGCATACATGTATATTTATATGTATATTTATCTGTATATGTATATGTGTATGTATGTCTATGTGTATATGTACATGGATATGTATATGTATTTGTATCTGTATATGTCTATGTATGTGTATGTGTATATGTATAGGTATACGTATCCATATATGTATACGTACATTGTACATATGTATATTTGCCACATCACCTGAACTTATTCCATTGTTGTAATGAAAAACACGATTTTCCATGCAGTTTTAGGAACGTAGTATGGGTGCAACGGTGCAACGTTGATGGCTTTTCAACATTTGTAACCCCAAATCCCCATTGATCCCCCTCTACTAGTTGATCATTTTGATGAGTTTTATGGGTGTTCGATTTTCTACAAGAAATTCAAAAAATTCCCACACTGAGTAGTGTCGGGGATTTTTCACTGCCAGTACCAGAGGGTGGCATCAATGAAAACACACCAATCCTCTGCAGAAAATGTGCCGCAGAATTTGTTGAGCGCATAGATCAGTTGGCCGAAAAAAATCCAACTAGGGTAAACACGTGTAAACAGGTTATGGCACCACCCAAGTTCCTGGCTGTTTTTTTGGGCAGCTGTAGATCGGCCTCGCGGCAAAGGTCCGCAAAAAGGGATGACTGGCCTCCAGGTCGAGAGAAACGTGGTGGGCCTGTGGGTTTCCTGCGGCTACCAGAAGGATTGTGACCCATAGCCCTACGTGGCATAGTCAACACCGGTGGCAGGTCGCACAAGTCGTGACCTGATTGTTTGATATTGTTTGGGGGTTTGTCGATTTATATACCGTATATACCGTTATTATCAAGGCTGTGCATACCCTTCTATGGATCCCTAGAACAACTTGGTGGTTTCATTCTCTTATCCCGCTCTTTGATATTGATCCACTCACCAGATGTTTCTAGATGATTTCAATAAGAAAGGGGTTTACTACATGTCATTTTTCAGGGGTTCCTGTGGCGGTCTGAAATCCATCCTTGCAGCTTTTGCTACGACGCGAGACTGACCTCATCTGCATCCGCATTAGATGCTTGGATACGACATCATCGACGGTGGGCGTGTTCAAAAAGCAAAAAAGGTGTTGACAGAGAAATCCCCGGTACAATTTGCTATGAACCCTCTAAATTGGTCCATTTCCATCATTTCCAGTACGTATGGACCAAAGTTCGATATATAAATATATATATATATCTATATATATATATATGTATAGGTTCTCGATCATTTTCTGAAGGCGTCCTGCGAAAACCCCACCATGTGAGGCCTGAAACATGTCGGCAGCGGAAAACAGAGAAGGGATGCATCATCTACTCACTGTTAGCTTTTTACATGATATATACTGTATATATATATAGACATGTATACACTCATAAGGTTTGGATACACACATATCCACAGTGATATATAAATATATGTACGCATATGTGTATATACACACATGTATGTGTGTATATATATATACACACACTTGCAAACAGACATATATATATATATATATATATCCCGGCGGGGCGGAAACCGCGCTAGCAGTTGTGCAATTTTATGGCACCACTGCGCTATAGAGATATTGTTTCAAGATGTGGCCCAAAATTTTCCCGGGCATTTTCAATGTAAAATTCATGCATGTATTACGTTTTACAGGGACAATGCTGTGCGGAGCACGCGTTTTTTCCTTCAGGTGTGCAAGTAAAGATGAACGTTTCTGCCCCAGAACATCTCTCGCGGGACACATCTCTAGCGTAGGATCAGGTGTGCAAGTTGACATGAACGTTACTCCCCCGCACCACCCCACCCCACAACATAAGCACACCGTGTTCAAAATATACGTAACTACACAAGTGCGTTTTCCATTCCCCTATTTGCATACATACCCATAATATATATATATATAATATTATGTTATATCTATATACAATATATACATATAGATATTATATATTATAGATATAACACAATATATTATGTTATATATATATATATCTACAATTAATATATTATACGTATATATATAATTTACATGTACATACTGATAGCTGCTCAGGATCCATGGCCTCAGTGGACTATCAGAAGCTGGAGGATGGCGAGAGCGGTGGAGCGATCGCTGCTCCGCCCTTTGCCCTCGCCAAATTGGACAACGACAAGGAAGGCCTGAAGGAAATGGCTTAAGCATAGTTAATGAGGGTTGTATGGTTTAATAACTATAGTTAATGGGGGTTAATAGTTAATGGGGGTTAATTTATGGTAGATATAACTATAGTTACTGGGGATTAATAGTTAATGGGGGTTAAAATGGTTTACGAAGCAACTTATAGCTGAGGGGGCCATCCTGTTGGACTGATTTTTTTTTTCCAAGTGACCTATCATTGGTGGATGGATACCAATTTAAACAAGGACTTTTGATGGGTTATTGTTCTATAGTAATAAGGGTGACAGTAATAATGCCAATTTAATGCTACTAAGAATAGCAATAACAGTGATGATAATGATAATAACAATAGTAAAAATAAAAATAATAATGATGACAATAGTAGTGAAATTGATGATAATGATGATATGCTAGTATTAGAAATATCATCAAAAAATATGTACGTATACGTTTTGAAAGGGGGCTCCAATATGTGCCATAGTTACTGAAGTGAAAAAAGACTTTTGACTCCAGGAAGTGGAGCTTGGTAGCATCACTGTGGTTTTGTTCTCGTAAGCCGTTGGAAACCAACTATAAAAATAGAAACCACCCAAACATAGAAACGTAACATCTTACACATTTGAAGCACTTTATTTTTTTTGGACCATAAAATCATCATTTTTTGGAGTTCTCCCTCGGCCCAACTTCAGGCCTCTTGAAAGGTTTGACGGATGTGGAGGTGGCCGAGTTGGTGAAAAAGTGCCTCGAACTGAGGAAACTGGGGGCCCAAAAATCATTTGTTTGGTCATTTTCATGGGGAACATGATTTTGGGGCTAACTTTTCAGGACAATCTGGAGAATCTTGAAGTCTTCAAAGAAGTCTTCAAAGAAGTCTTCAAAGACCCCAAATCAGCACAGACGGAAGATTTTCATCGGTTTGTTGAAGGATCCTGATCGTAGCAAGACGACACAGCAGCGAGATGGTGATGTTGGAACGGTGATTTTGTGGCATAGCACAGGGTTATGTTGTTTTTCTTTTTTCAATGGTCTCACGGCCCGGTAATTTTGAGCTGAGGGTGTTAGCTTTTCCATGTTTGGGAACCAAATCCAGCAAGTTCCAATCTCCAGCCCGAGGTATGGCCTGAACGAAGTGCCAGAAGAAAAGGAACCGTTGTGGAAGATGTTCCTGAAACAGTTCACCGGACCCATGCAGATCATGATCGAGTGTGCTGCGTTGTTCCCTGGCTTCCCCTGGCCCTTGTTGAGAGCACAGATATCGCCCTTGGTGATGTCACGGCGCCGCTGAGGTTGTGCTTTCTGATCCACAATTGGCCCGACTTCACCATCATCATGGTGCCTTGGCTGGAGCTCCACACGACATCTAGAAGTGGGTCTGACGGTCTGCGCTCTGTGAGCAGAAAAACCTTACCATCAATTTTCAGATTTTCAGAGAAACCTTACCATCTGGGACATCTTGAATTTTGGAGCAGACCAGTGGCAGAAGCAGATCATCACTTTAGTCTTTAGTGATATCAGTGACGTCCCCATGTTTTTTTCTTCACCCTTCCTCACCTCAGGTCTTGTTGTTGACCAATGGCACCTTGGGATTCTTCGAAGAGACGCTCTATTTGAACCGCAGCATTCGTTTGAAATTCTGTAGGTTAAAGATGGTTTAACGGGTTTTCACGGGTTCAAAAGTCTATTCTCTGTGGCACTGCGTGCACCAAATATAAAGAAAATTTCATTCTCCATAGTCCTCACCTCTATCCTCCTTGCCTCGTGATCGCAGTGCCTGCTATGTGCCAAGCAGTGAGGGGCTTATACCACCGCGATTGATTTTAAAAACCACGTTTCTGGTCAGACATATCTTAATACAATTGATGACTACCAAGATTGCAAAACAAAAAGATGAAACTGATGAGACTCCCCAAGTTACTATTTGGCTTATGTTATGATACATCCTTAACCCACAGTTCTTAGACTTTGAATTGTCATTTTGCCCATGGTTTTGCCCATGGTTTCTTACTATTTCCTTATTTCAGGTGGCCAAGTTGTGGCCAGATTTCCATTCCCAGGAAGAGCGCACAGGCCTCGGTGGACGCTTTGAAGGCGGGTCTGGAGAAGAAGATGCCGGTGAAGAGGACCAGCTGATTATGGCAGTTTAAGAGGCAGTTTGAAGGTGTGGATTGATATGGATTGATTGAGTTTAGGAACTCAACTAAAAAGTGTTTTTCAGGATTCCCAGTGCTCCAGCTGAGGAATCCAAGTATATAATGTTATATACTTCTACCTGTAGATGTTCGAATTTGCCCTCATGGTGTTCAGGGATGCCAACAATGAGCTATGTACCAGAATCTACCAGAATCTACCAGAATCTACCAGAATCTACCAGTGTTTTCTGTAGATGACCCGAGTTGACCTGTAGATTCTTTTTGGCGTGAAACAGCAGATTTCTGTTTGTCCGAAACTTGGATGGCAATATCCATTCCGTAGAGAACGCATGAGTTTCCCATTGAATGGCCTTCTGTTTCAGGGGAATAGCCCACTTCGAGATAGCCAACAATGCTTTCTTTGCAAACGACTGTGAACATTTCTGGGTATTCCATGGTATTCCTCGGTTTCCTCACAGGCCGACATCCACTTCCATCACCCGGGTACGCCAGGAATGGCAAGTTCGACAGCATCCCGGTGGTTCAAGTGGTCCCTGGGGACATTCTCTTCATGCGCGGCGGCGACATCGTGCCAGCAGACTGCTACTGGTTGGAGGGCGATCCATGTCAGGTGGATGAGGCCGACGAATGGTGCAGTGATGTCAAGATATGTCAACTATCTCAACATTTTCCACTGCATTCCGAGGGTTCAGGACACCATTTGATTAATGAGCGTGACTTCCTGCTGGACATCTTTAGGAGAAGCACGTCATGTTTTTTTTTTTTTTTTCGGAACCAGATTCTTGATGTAGGGATTTGTAAAAAAAACGTTGTCAAACATCTGTCAATGATCTTTTTTGGCTTTCGGTTTTATGTTCTCTGTGACTCTCCCCTTCTCTCTCTCGATCTGTAGGTCTTCTGGACTTGCCAATTTTCTTAATGGCCAACTCATCATTTTCGGGGATTGACCGGACTTGCCCAATTCTAGGAGGAACTGCCAATTACTGATTCCTCATCCTGCTGGCTGTCTCCCTGTTTCTTGCTGCTTAAATGTCTACAATTGGTTGGTCAATTTATGCATTTTTCTGCTAGTCAAGTTAATCAAGTTAGTCGATTTTCTCCAAACTTCACAACCGAGACGTTTGGTTTATCAAATCAGTATTCCCATTAGTCTCCTCTATAGATCCCCAGAAAAGATCCCCAGAAAAGATCCCCAGAAAAGATCCCCAGAAAAGATCCCCATGTTGGCCTGTTGGCCAGGCGGCGTTGACAGGGGAGTCCCTGCCAGTGAAGGTTCCCCGAAAGGATGACCATGGGAAGCAATTCTCAGGTCGTCAAATGTGGTCTGGATCTATCCTTAAGGCGACTGGGGCCCACTGGCATGGCTGGAGCAATATTATCTGGCGTTTCTCACCATGAAAATCTGGAGGATTTCCGAAACCATGGGGGATTTCTCCACGGGGGATTTCTCCAGGAAAATCTGAATCTAACATGGGGATTGAAGCACAAAGCTTGGACGAAGTCTCCCAGTCTGTGCGTCGCAAATCGACTCTGTCAACGATGAAGACTGGGAGAAAACTTGCAAGAATAATAGATAATTTGCCAGCAACAGTGGGTACATACGACATGCATCTATATGTATATATCTATATATTTTGAATTTGCATGTAGATATAGATATGTACACATGTGTAACATAATATATATATATATATCCCAATCTACGTATAGATATTATATATATATATGTATTTATGTATACATATACATATACATATATATCTATCTATCTATCTATCTATCTATCTATCTATCTATCTATCTCTATATATATATATATACATATATATATATGAGAATGTACACACAAATGCCAGTAACCGAGCCAATCGCCCGTTGTCCCCGGTTTTCCTTTTGAAAACGCTAGGTGGGCGAGTGCCAAGCAGTGGTGAGCCACACTGGGGTCAATACGATGATTGGCGAAGCTGCAAAGGCGATCCAAGATGCCAGCGGAAAGGACGATGGTTTTGTGCGGTGATCCCCTCCGGCTGCGAAGAAGCCATGGCTATTTTTGGGCCGTTTTTGGGATGATTTAGCTATGAAATCCTATGTTTTAGTGATGAAAACCATAGCTATGTTAAATTGATTGCATCAAATATATCAGCATTATGATTTAAGGACGGGACATCCTCACAACTTGGGCATCCGAATGAGCATCCTGTGGAGCCAAAAGGAAAGGGTTTTTCAGACGCTTGTTACTGTGGGATACAACCATCTCTTTGGTTCCATGGTTCCATTTTGAATGTCTGGGGAGTCACTGGGGTGAACCAACTCCCAGTGTTTTCCACAGGAAACTGCGAATTTTGCTTGGAAAGAATCGATTTTCCCAAAGTTTTCCCTGTTCTCAAATGGCTTTGTCTGACGGGTACCTCAACGTCCCGGGGTCATAGTTTTCACCTATGAAAATTGCCTTAAGCCTTGAGATATCCCCCATATTCCATCAACTGCAGAAACCCAACCCAGACAGTTATGGTTGCTTAGCCATAAACATCCGTCGGGGATTATTGGACCTTAATTTGTAGGTGAAAATTCATTTCGACCTGGGCCCTTCAAAATCACGTCAACATTTTCTTCAAAAATTGATGGATTTTGGATGATCTGTTTTCTAAAAACGTGTTTTTTATTCATTTTCATGTCTGTTCTGTTTCATGTGGCCCCTTTTGTTGCTGCAACCCTTTTCAACCGAATGCGTCAGCGTGAGGTCTTTTGCCAGTTGCTTCAAAAAGGCTTTGCCGCACAAACGGCCATTGCCATTGCCTGGCATAACCCATCAACCGTGGGTTTGGTTTACAGTTCCCTATAGAATATTTAAAGCATAGCATCAAGAGCGTATGGCATCAAAAAGCAACCCAAAAGACATTATTACCTCCCCCAACCCCCTCAGCCACCCCCCGAACATGTCACTGACAGCAACGCATATACAAACCGAATATGCGCCGACCGTCGCAGAAGCCGATGAGCTCTGATCAGGATGTTAGCAAGCTGACAATGCAACTCGGTCAACCCGGTAACCCCCCCAACATAAACATCCATGCACGCAGATTCCAAAATTTCCAGGTGTTTTTTTCCCCAACAGCGTAAGCTAATGGGGTTTTCAGCCCAGAATAGCTCCGGTGAGCACAGGTGCAGGCGCCGGGTCAGGTTCAACGAGGTTCCGGAGAAGGTTCCGAAGCTTCCGGAGAAGGTCTGGGAGGCTTTGGTCCAGAGCCAGGTCAGGTTCAACAGGGCTCCGGAGAAGGCTCCGGAGAAGGTCTGGAAGGCTTTGGTGCAGACCCAGTCAGGTTCAACAGGGTTCGGGAGAAGGTTCCGGAGAAGCTCTGGGAGGCTTTGGTGTTCTCTACCTTCGCTCTTCACCTCGTTCGCTACGCGTCTCGCTCATGACGTAAGGAATGAGCGGCGGGCGGTAGCGTGATGGGTGGTGAACGGAGAGAACAGAGAACCGAACGGACCACCCATCACGCCCGCCCATCCCACCCGTTCCCTTCAGTCTCTCACCTCCGTTCCTTTGCCCCTCTGGTTCGTTCCCTTCGGTCACTGGGTGGTATGGGGAGGGGTGGGGAAATGGAGCCAGGCCAGATTCAACAGGGTTCCAGAGAAGGTTCCGGAGAAGGTTCCAGGAGGCTTTGGTGCAGAGCCAGGTCAGGTTCGACAGGGTTCCGGAGAAAGTTCTGGAGAAGGTCTGGGAGCCTTTGGTGCAGCCAGGTGAGGTTCAACAGGGTTCCGGTTCCGGAGAAGGTTCCCGGAGAAGGTCTGGGCTGGGAGGCTTTGGTGCAGCCAGGTCAGGTTCAACAGGGTTCTGGAGAAGGTTCCAGCGCTTGGCTTCGCAGCACGCTTCAGAAAGATTTGTAACAATAAAACGTTGCGGCTGTTGGGGATACCACCGAAGCTTATTTTTTTTTCGGCAGGACATCGGTGTTTTCGAGGGAAAGATCATTGAGGCAGCGCAGGTTTTGATTTTGATCACTGTGGTGGTGGTCAGCTTCCTGTCATGGATTCATTCGGCACCAAAGTCTCATGGGTGAACCACCAACAAAATTCAGTGACGTTGTGGTGGGATAATCATCCAGATACCCTCTCGTAAACATACAAAAAACTATTGAACATGGCCATAGAAATAGTGAGTTTTTCTATTAAAAATGGTGATTTTCCATAGTTATGTTAGTTTACCAGAGGCTAAAGTATGGGGAAACAAGTGCCTGGATATTGAAATGATTGGCTCAAAGCATGCGAAACAAGGGCTTTTGATGCTACGACAGGAGTGGTTGTTCAGATGATGCGGTAATGTTGGCCAGTGAAAGCGGTTGCCAAAAAGTGATATGGCTACCAAACTGCTGGATTTTGCTTTGCTAACGCTTGAAGGCTCATAGGAGTGCTGTATGGATACAACTGATTTTAACCATGAAAATAGCAACGAAATTCCGAATGCCTGGTTACATCAGTGTACTGCCCTGCTGATTCTGCATGAGCCACTAAGGCTTCCTGTTCTACTTTATGTATGTCGTGCAGAAGGCGTGCACGTGGGGTTGAAACTTGTGCATGGGACAGCAAAGAGTAAACCTTGTGGGTTGGATTTGGTGTTCAGACTTTGATGATTTGGCATAGGCAAAGTCACCACCATGGGACATGTTGGTTTTCAGACTTCCGTCTGAGAACCCTTGAGATAGGTGCGTCCACAGTCATGGAGGGGCCTCCTGGTTTTTGCTTGCTATCAAACCATGATGAACTAGCGGCCTAGCGAAGTTTCACGGTTCCTTTGGATTTCGAGTCAGGTTTTGGATAGGGCTACTCATTTGGCGACCCCCTGAATCCCGACTGGGACCTCATTTATGTCCAAGGCACATGATGTCTACCTTCCACCCCGAAACATGTGTAGTTTCTCAGCTGTTTTGAAGGATTTTGAACGGGTATTGGTGTCTTCATCTCATCAAATTTGATCCCGCTGCAGCCTCTTTTGACCATGCGCAGAAAACTACCCGTGCCATGGCGCACTAACCGCAGCAATGTCTGTCGTTTTCCCGGCACGTACCACGCCACTGCGTACCGACTCTGCCGGACCCTGACGGAGATCGAGCACCGCGACGACGGCGCCTTCAAGCGCTACCTGCCAGGACCCAAGACGGGTGGCTTCGTGCGTGGCAGCTTCATCGCATGGCGTCGCCACGAACGGGTTCGAGACATCGAAGTTGTGAAGGATTCCATCCGAGAGCTCTATGACTTTGAAGAGGCGGGCAAACAGGCCAAACATGAAACAAATCATGGCAAATCATGGCAAAATCTATAGAAATCGCCGGGTGACCATGGCACTGAGCGACTTTGGAGCTGAACGGTCAGTTCCAAGTGGCTTTTCAGCGTACAATGGGCTATAGGAAATCAAAATCCGTCAGCTTAGGTATGGCCAGGATATGTGAGGATCGGGGCCCAAGCCGTTTTCAGCGACCGCCCTGAGGTCGTGGGGGAAGGAGGTTTCGGCAAGGTGTCACGAGCACGGCACCGACGTACCGGGGAGGTGGTGGCCATTAAGACCATCTCCAAGTCGAAGCTGGGAGACGAAGAAGCTTTGCAACTCGAGGTCAGTGATGGTGATGGTCAGTGATGGTCATCACTCAGTTCACCACAGTTCACCGGTGTTTTCCTATCGTTTAGCATTGTTGAACCTTAGTTTCACCATGCTCAGTTTCGCAAATTGCTTGGGACTTCAACCAATGATCAACGGTTCAACCCAGTGATCAACCAAGCCATACCCGTGTTGCAGCTGAAGGTGGCCTTCCTAAAGTTGTCGGATCATCCCAACACAGTGCGCTATTACGAGACCTTTGAGGATGCGACTGACATCCATTTGGTCATGGAAACTGAGCTGGTCTCAAAATGGTGGATACCCAAAATCGTGTTTGATTTTCATGTGGAACCTGATGTTTTAAGCATGTTTGCACAATGGGATTTTGGGGTACCCAATTTTGCGACATATCCATATTCATAGTTTGCTGATTTGCTGTCAATTCTGAATCTGGCAAATTTTCTGCCATGTTCAAAAGTAGAAACGCCGGCGTCATACGGTGCCCTGTGCGTTTCACAAAGAACTGAGAGCACAATTTGCGGCGAACATGGGCAGTCAAGTCCAACTTAGCGGCAAGCTCCGGCAGCATGGGGAACTGATCCTGAACTCAGCACCGCCGGAACGGCAACCGCAGAAACTCCCAATGGTGGACCATGGTGGACCGTCTTTGTTTCCGCTTTTTGTGACCCAAGCATCAGGGTACAGATGGAAGTTGAGCCATGAAAAAGGGCATGGAACATCAATGGAACATCATGAAAACAATGTGAAGCAATGTGAAGCAGTAAAACCTCTGCAAAACAACAATTGTCTAGCAATATTTCACTCTTTGAAACGCAACAGCTAGCAAATCACCATTGACCATCAGGAAACCAATTCAAATGCTGTTCATGTTCCCCTGAAGCTCCCGCAGTCTTCATTCTTTGGAATTGCACAAGCATGTCGAGCCAGAAATTTGCTTTTGGAATGATCCGCATCAGCATCCGCATCAGCATGTCATGCTAACACAAGATCTGCAAACGCATGAAGATGGAACTTAGACGGCAAAAAACCAGGAGGAAACATGTAAGTTAATAGTGAGGCGCATGCAGAATGCACCGAATATCCAATTGTGAGGGTTTTGCAGACCCTGTGATGTTGGTAGGACATATATATCCGGATGACCGTGGGTAACAACCACAGCTGACCCCTAATTTTGGTTGTAACTGAGTGAACGCCACTCTGTTTTCGTAGCTTGAACATTCCCATGTTAAGTTGACATTCGCCGCTGGAACTCAGGAGATGTGCTCGGGTGGTTCTTTGGCGCAGTTGCTCCAAAATGCGCACGACGACTTTGGGCCTGGTGTGTCAGAAGATGAGCTGAAACGCATCAGTTTGCAGATGCTGCAGGCAGACTTCCCGTGGGTGAATGGAGGAAAGAAGATGGCCCCCATTATAATAAATATATGATATGATATATATATATAAATCTATTCATTAATATATGATCTTAGAAATAAATACTATATATATTATATATATATATGATATCATATAGTATATGTATATATATATATATATGCAAATTAATGTACACGGGTACATAATTATTGATGGGATTGGTCGCCACTTCTGAATTTAACATGTACCCCAACCGTTGGGCCAGATTCAGTCAATCATCCACATCGGACCCCATTTGTAAACCTGGCCATGGATCCTACAAATCCTTCATCGAAGCCGGCTCTAGGGCATCGCCTATTGTCATGCCCATTCAGTGGCGCATCGGGATATCAAACCGCAAAATCTGCTCTTCAGCTGTGGTGCTCCGAAAAATGGCAGTGCCATTCCCATCAGCTGCAGTGGTCATGGTGATGCTCCCCTGAAGCTGGTGGATTTCGGCCACCAGTCCTGGATAAGCCCCTGCTGGGCACCGAACATCACCTGCTTGAATCTACGAACCCCAAAATATGATAAATAAGGCATTAAATAAGGTACATACTACAAATCTGCTGGTTCATCATTTTCCTTCATTGCGATTTGGGGGCATATCCCATTTTTAGACAATACCAAATCATAGTGTTGGCCCAAATCATACTGATGGTTATCCCACTATATCCCATTATATCCCCTTATTAGACCTACACCTTGGGATCTACACCTTTACACTGTTGTAATATCAGTTGCCAATAAATACACCCAGTTTCTAGAGAAAATCCACAAGCTGCGCACTGGATCTATTCCCCCTTCAGATGGCTTGGCTGTATCTCAATTCGACACCCATGAAATAGGAGGTATATATATATTATCTTATATATATATTTATTATATATAATTATATTATATATATATATTATAGATGGATAAAGTTGGATGTAGTTGGTAGGAAAGTCTTATCACCCAACCAGCCATATGTCTCCGTGTTCCGCCTGAGGTATCGCAGGGGTAGTGCGGAATGATCGACCCGAGACGCTTGGGCGAGTGTCCGTGTCCCAGTTCTGCTGATATTTTGAGGTGAACGGGGCCTCAGTATAGTAATCTATAGTAACCTATAGTAATCTATAGTAATCTATAGTAATGTATCATTTTATCTCCAAAGTCCGATGTTTGTACACATTCATTATTCCGACATTTTCCCCAGGAAACGTTTGCTGACCAAATGCGCTGGTACCCTTGGGTACATGGCGCCTGAAGTCTTTGGGAACAAACCCTACGATGGACGCTCAGCCGACCTCTTCTCCATCGGTGCAGTAATGCACCACATGGTGGTAGGCGTGCCGCCCAGTTGGAAGGCCGCACTGAATGCCTATGAGTTCTCAGGGAAGATGCGATACAAGCAGTTGTCGGAAGCTTTGGCAAACAGTCTGCGACCCATGATGGTATAGATTGGTTGTATAAGTTGTTATGTAAACAGTAGTGAGCATGTATGCATATGTGCGACTTGGGGATATAATATCATATATCATATATCATAAATCATATATCATATATATCACACATCATATCTGATCAAATATAATATATGATCATATATTATATATATAATACATACCATATAATATCATATCATACCATATCATATCATATCAAACCATATAATATCATATCATATCATACCATATATCATATCATCTCATCTCATCTCATCTCATACCATATCATATCATACCATGTCATATCATATCATATTATATCAAACCATATAATATCATATCATATCATACCATGTCATATCATATCATCTCATACCATATCATATCATCTCATACCATATCATATCATATCATACCATGTCATATCATATCATATCATATCACATATATATATATATATATATCATATATCACATGTCATATATCATATATCATATTTCATATTTCATATATCATATTTCATATATCATATCATACCATTTCATACCATATCATACCATATCATATCATACCATATCATATCATATCATATATATATATTATATACATATATGAGCAACCAATAGGAGAAAAACAGCCATAGAACATGCGCTACCCATGCGCTACCATCCAAATTCTTTATCAAACCACAAATGTGGTGAGAACTGAAATGTGGTTTTCCCACTTGCAGAAATGTGGGGCTGTGGTTTTTCCACTTGCTATATAATATATGAATTATAATATATCTCTATATATATATATAGATATATATGTATTTATATAGATAATATATGAATTATATGTCGATTGTACGGCAAAGGTCCGTACGCTCACTAGTCTACTAGTCGGCGTGGGCACCGGTCTCACGCGTTCGCGTGACTTTGAGACGAATGTCCGAGAGGTGCACATGTACAAGCATATACTTATGCATATGTACATGCATACGTATACATATGCGTATGTACGTGCAAATGTATATGTGCACATGTAGACATGTACATGTGCATGTACATGTAAATGTATACGTATACGTATATGATTGCGTTCAACATCCCTTGCTGTGTCAACTACAGTTCAACTTTTTGTGTCCCGAGGAAGATTGTCAATCCCTGCTGGAACACCTGCTACACGAAGCGCCAGAGATGCGACCAACCGCGGCTGAAGCATTGCAACATCCCTGGTTTGATGCTGAGCACAGCGTGTCAGGAGGCTACGTGGAGTTGCATTCTGTGCTTATATGCCATATGCATACGTACGTACGTACGTAAATAGATAAACAAATGAATAAATAAATAAATGGGAAAAAACCATAGTTAAATATATAATAAAATAATTATATATATATATGTCCAAAATATGGGTATCAGGCTATCAGGATGCAGGATGTTTCGCCAGGTGAGGATAACATGGCCTCACTGTTGGAGCGTTGCTTCACCAGGACCTGGAAACCTGGAATGGACTGTCGATCAGGTCAATAACATGGGGGGATGATGATAAACGGTGATAAACGGATAAACCACCCGATTTTTTTGGGTCTGATTTTCAGTCAAAACCATATCACCCATATCCTAAGATGATTTGGTACCATCCCAGATCCCCTGGTAGAGGATGAATGACTTTTGTCAACGGAGTCCACTGCAAAAGACGATCATGTACAGCACCGTGGCTTTTGCTGGGCTTCACAACCATCACATGGAGCAGCTGCGTGTGGCGTTTCTCTTTGCGGATCGCGGAAATCGGGGAGTTGCGGGTGGCCAAGGCATCAGTTGCTTCGAATTCGTGGAGCTGGGACGGAGATACAGCCGCTTCAAGCCACAAGAGCTCCGGCAAATCTTCGCTTGCGCCAATGTCTCGCGGAATGGGAAGCTCTCCTACTGTGAATGGCTGGCTGCTTGTGCGCCCGCCAAATGGTATGGCGACACATGCAATGCAGAGAGAGCCTTCGACACATTGGACGTGAAACGTAATGGTTTCGTGGGTGCCTCCGATCTGTGCCAATTGCTGCCTCATGCACTGGACAAGGAAACCCCGGCTTTGCCCGAAGCAGATCAATTTTCCACTTGGGGCAGGGACATCTGAAATTAACTTCTTTATCAAACTATTTATCAACTTATGAATCAACCTACTTATCAACCGATTTTCTTTCATTTTCTTGTTGTTTTTTTCCTGTTTGCAGGGAGGTCTATTATCAGGACACCTGGTAAAGCTTCAGCGTTGGATCTGTCGAGGGTCCCATTTTGACTACACCTGTCCCGGGACCATTCCAGCCGACCAGAGGGTATAACTATAACATGAAATTCATCAATTCAGAAAAGTTAAGTCCCTGGGGTTAATTGGAGCATAATGAGTCATATATATATATATTATATTATATTATATTATATTATATCATATTATATATTATATTATATTATATTATATATTATATTATATATTATATATTATATTATATATTATATTATATATTATATTATATATTATATTATATTATATATTATATTATATATTATATTATATATTATATTATATATTATATATTATATTATATTATATTATATTATATTATATATATAAATATATGACATATATCTATGGATGGGAGTTCTAATAGTTTTGACATGCTTTGGCCACCTCATGAGACGCAATGCATCCAAGGAAAGTATCCAGGAAGAGATCCTGTGTAGCTTCCCCACCGGGGACGGGCGCCTCAGTTTGCAGGACTTCGTTGCCTGCAGTGGCTGAGCGAAAATCGTATCGCTCGCCACATGTACAGTCCTTGGAAGGCGAATTTGAGCGTCCAATCACGGTGCAAAATTGGTGCTGCACAGGGTTTCCCAAGTTCAAGTGGTGTCCACATTGCGCAGCATCAATAGACGATAAGCATCTATAAACATCATACAGAATCATACAGCAACCAATGAGGTCTATCCGAAAGACCTTGCAATGCCTCTCAAGTTAAGCCGCTTTACATCCCTTTGACATCCCAAGAATGGCTGAAACCATGCATGTGGTCAGCAATCTCATGATATAGCACAATGTATCCAAATTTTCAGAAACAGTGTGCACGCATACTACTCGTACAACAGATATACATGTATATGCATAGATACAATATGTACGCAAAAATATACATAAAATCTTGGAATGTATGGTTTGCTATCTACATCCATCTCACATATCATTTGCATTCTATATTCACAATACAAAAAACCAACATATTTTTAAAGACCTGTTGATATCATCATCATGTATATATATATATACATACATAGATTCATACATATATCTATAGTTGTATATCTTTATAGTTATTAGTTATATCTGAATATTTATATGTATCTCATATGTATCTCATATTCATTTATTTGCATGTTACATATGTTACACATGTTACATCAGAATCTTCCGGCTTTCCAGCGTGCTCGAGGTGGAGATCACCGAGGTGCTGGAGATGTCTTTGTCACTGGTCATTGCATCGGTGCCAGTGGCACTGCCCATGGTGATGAAGGTAACCCTATCCATTGGAGCCAAGGTGCGGGAAACTGCGGTTGCCACCCCACCCCGCCTGGATTTTTTTCCCGAAAGGAATGGGCCATTGGATTGAACTGGATGGTGAAAAAAAGGGAAATCCATGGAAATCCATCTATAAATGGATGATGACTGGGGGTATCCATTTTAGGAAAGCCCTTAAATTCTGGAATGGACTGCTAATGGAAATGGATTCACCACAAAAAAGAATGGGGATATATTCATGGACTGAAACTTGTCGATGGGTATATCAATCAGATTTACCAAGGCCAATCAACATGTCAACATGTCAACATGTCAACGTGTCATGGATTGTTTATATATATATATATATATATCCTCAGAGTAAGGTCGAATTACACACACAGAGATTATATATATATATATTCATCATTTTTGCATCATTCTTTTCTCAGAATATTATTTCATGATCTTATCACATATCTTATTGATCTTCAGTGAAATATCTCCATGCTCCAAAAAAAATGCAGAAAGCTTTTGGTCACCAAAAAGCTGTTGTTTTTTGGTCGTCCCCTCGAAGCCCCAGGAGATGTCCGACGAGGGCGGCATCGTGACGCATCTCACAGCGCTGGAAGAGATCGCCTCGATGAAGGTCCTGTGCTCCGACAAGACAGGCGCCGCGGCCGCGGAATGTTCCATGGGATCATATGGATCAATGGATGAGATCCCATGATATTTTTTTTTGGGAATTATATTAGAAATGGAAACCAAAACGGGATAATGATACTTGTATATGATTAACTTACTTATGTAACTATGTATCATTATTTATTTGCATATATATATATATATATGAAACGGTATAATTATAAAACGCATACAACCGACACAACATGCCATTTTTTTGTATGTAACTCATCGAACTTTTTATGGATACGACGGCTTCAATAGCTAGATTCAACTACCAGAGTGTATTTTGTGAGATAGATCGCTATCATTATATGGACGATTGATGGTTAAATGGATATCATCCAAAAAAAATGATGGTTAAAATGATGAAATCATTATATTATGATATATATATATACATACACTGTATGGATATCATCCAAAAAATGATGGACGGTTGATGGTTAAATGGATTCAAATGGTTGTTTAAGTTGACGCCCACTTTACTAGTCCCGGACCTTTTGGTACTTTTTGTCGCACCAGAGAGACGTGGGCAAAATGCACATGTCACATGTGACCGGTCGCTGGAAAATGCAACTTTCAGGAACCTGTCCGCGTTTCACCAGATTGTCCGCCTTTCCCAACACTATGCACGTTTCAAAGCAGTGGCCAAGTTCACAACATTGTCCGCATTTGACAACTCTGCGTCGAACGTTTCACACACGCACTGGATGGTAGGCTACCGCCATGTTTTCTTCATTCTTTGCTTCATAGATACATTGGAAATGGACACTATGCATTACTACGCTACCAATGTGTTTTCACACACACATGCCAAAAACCACGGCCGTGATGCCAGGGTGATCTTCTCCCCATTCGCCAGGCACTTTGACCACGGCTCAGATGACGGTGTACTACGACGACACGGCCAAGGCCTACAACGGCTACAGTCGAGAGCAGGCAGGGATTGCTGGAGATGGGGAGATGCTGAACCTGATCAAGGGAAGTATTGCAGAACACCCATTATTAATCATGATTAACATTATTAAACATTATTAACCATGATTTTAACCATTATTAACCATTATTAACCACTATAAAACCACTATTAAACCACAAAAGTAGGTTTTTAGATCTGATAAAAGTGTGAAATCTTTGGGACCTTTTTATGCCATTTCTTTCCAAACAGGTGCTGGAGTTTGCATCGCTGGCCTCCAACGAAGCCAACAAGGATGACCCCATTGACTCCGCGGTCTTGCGGGCCTATGCCAAGATGAAAGGCACCTGACGGGCCTGACGGATGTGATGGATGTGATGGATGTGAATTCCAGATGGCCAAGGGGATCCAAGGGGTTTGATTGAGAAAATCAGATGGCTTGGGAGAGTCGTTGAAAAAAGGTAGTTCCCGACTGGGGCACAAAACATCCAACATTTGATATGGGATCCAACTTGCCCACATAGGGTGCTTCGCGTCAGTGCAGGTACGAGCAACGTGGATGATGCGGTGGACAAGAGGAAGTCAATCTACTCCCTGGATAAGGATGGATTTATTGGATTCAATCCCATTGTCAAACGCACCTGTGCTGCTGTCACTGCCAAAGAAACTCAGCTGACTTATTCCCTTCACCCAGTCACCCTGCATATCCCTGAAGAAGAGAGATCTCTTTTGATGGCATGGTTAGTGAGGTTAGTGACACTCTTTGTATGTAGGTCCAGGCGGCTGATGTTGGAGGGGATGGGATGCCCGGGACATTTCGGCCGAGGATGGCACCAAGTGGTTCTGCTCCAAAGGAATGGTGGATGTGATCTTGAAGACCAACCCTGAGGCACGGGAGAAGGAGGGCCTGGTGGTCCTGGGCGTGGGGCGCCTGCCAAGCTGAAAAGAATTTCTTCACACCTTGGATGTTCTGCCTGTTCAGCATTTCTTTTTGGGAGATAGCAACGACTGGCACCCCCATAGTCCAGGATGCTACCTTGATTTCCGAAGCCAGGATGAAGGGAAGCAGTGGACCGTGGAGAATTATGATGCCCCTGGGTGAGTTACGCCGCTCTATGTCCCAGAAAGGAGAGATCCAGGATGCCTCAAATGGATTGGTTTCCCTGTGCCAAAATAAGACATGGTGGATTTGGGGAATCCCAGATGTTTTTTGCAGCATTTCTTGTAGATTTTTCCTGCGCAGCTCACCTCAAATCCCACAAGAATCCTGGAATATTCCAACAACTTGGCTGTTGGAAATGTGTGGAGGATGATTTTGCGCCATTCAACTTGAACTGTCCGCCAATGTTGAGGCGCTTTCAACATCACCTGAACGGGTGAAATAGCAGTTCACCCCCTTTGCAATCACAAAGATAGTGATGTTGGGTGTTCACGACCAACATCCAAAGATAGTTTGGAAAATCATTCTGTATTGCTAACCACCAACATGCAACAAATATCAGCAAAATTTCGCTGAAAAAATCCATGAACCAGATGTTTGGCGACCAAAAAATCCCCAGGCCATGTCCAAAGAGGCTCACAAGGCTGATGCAGATCTGGGCGTTTCAGGCGGGCTACTGATTTGGGGCATATAGAGATAGATATAGAATGATATATAGATATACATGTGTATTTTAGACACAACATACACATATACACACATAAATAATTATATATATATTTATGAGAATATTGCAGCTACAGGGCTTGTATGACAAAATAATTTTTTAACCATTTGCTGCACCATTCTTGTAACCATTCTTTTTCCTATTTTGGAAGCACCCCTGTTCTTGTAACCGTTCTGTTTCCTATTCTGGAAGCACCCCTGTTCTTGTAACCGTTCTGTTTCCTATTCTGGAAGCACCCCTGTTCTTGTAACCGTTCTGTTTCCTATTCTGGAAGCACCCCTGTTCTTGTAACCGTTCTGTTTCCTATTCTGGAAGCACCCCTGTTCTTGTAACCGTTCTGTTCCCTATTTGGAAGCACCCCTGTTCTTGTAACCGTTCTGTCTGTTCTCTTAAGCATGCTGTTTCCTGTTCTGGAAACACCTCTGTTCTTTTAACCATTCTACTTCCTAGTATGGAAGCACCTCTTTTCTGTTTTTTCTCAAGCCACCAGTCTTCGTGTAGCCATGCCACCCGCTATCCTGGAATCATATTTTTGATGGTCATCCTATCTGCGACCCTGAGGTAAACAAGTTTTCTAATTATCCCAGTCCTATGTCTTAGAAACACTCCACTGTAGTCAGTCAGTCCTTCTGACCTTCTAAAATTCTAAAAGCCATCATCTTCACTTTTGTCAGCATTCCTTTACTTTTGAACATTCTGCAAATAGCCTTTGCCTCTGACTGCAATTCCTGTTGCCGCTTGCCATTCTGCATTGTTATTGTTCTTCTGGCAATGTCGTTCCTTCAGCGCTGCCATTTGTTTCTTCCCATAGTCCTGATCCTTGTCCTTTCTGACCTTTCTGCCTTTCTTTCAGAAATGGCAGCTGCCCATGCCTGCTACTCCATCAAGTTTGATTTTTGCACAATATATTTTGTACGATTTAATTCGACATCACGACGTCACCCCCGAATTAACAAGGCAGAATTTTGAAATTAAGGGGATATGTACATGAGTTACATGAGTATCTAACCATCTGCCTGTACCCGATCCCGCTTGTTCGCGAAGCGCATTGTTGACAACGAGCTCTTGGTTGAGGCGCGAACGGGTGAGAGAGAGGGGAGAGACGAAAAGGAGGTTGGAAAAAGAGTTGAAAGTGCTTGGAGTTGCTGAAAGGGCAGTGAAAAGAATCACATGCAAACTGCAATGTGGTTCCTCGGCGTGTTTCTGGTTTCCTATTCTTTCTTGGCTAAGCGATCCGTATGTGTGCTGCCAGGCAAAACGTGTTCAACGACCTCAACCTGGGCAACGACGTCAGACGACGTCACACTAATTTCGTTTTTCAGACGACCTCACTTAATTTCAGTTTAATTTATTGAAGATGAAAGTTACGACCCAAGAAATATTGCATTTTTTTTGTCACGTACGTATATAGATAGATAGATAGATAGATACATATATATATAGATACATATATATATATACGTATATATATATATACATATGTATATATATATATATCTCTCTCTCTCGTTTATTTTGCATTGAATATACACATGGAACCTTCCGGTTTCCTTCTTGAACTTCATTATTGAATCGCGTGCATAATTGAAACAGCTTTCGGCAGATTTCGAAGCCAGCATTGAGCAGTGTTTGTCTACCACCTTTGTGAACAACTGCGTGCCGTTGCTTTTGCAGTCATAGTCACAGAGTCAAAACTCTGTCGGGATCCAAGCAGGCAAACAACTCAAATGTTTTGGACCCGTGGGCTCCACTGATTTTCCTTTCCATGTAACCAGTGCTACATACTACGCCATCACTGTGTTCATTGAACCAACCCGTTGAATTGAACATCTAATGATCTAACGCCGGTGCCACTGCCAATGTTTCATGCATTCTCTAGTGGCTGTTTCCTGACTGGAATACATTGACGCAATGGGGCCGGGAACCATGCTCAATTCTTGGGCTGATGCTATGTTAGCTGAACTCTCCTCGCCAGAGTGTGAACAACAAGATGCACAGATACAAGAGGTGGATGACATCAGAAGTCAGACCAGTGATGCGTCAGAGACAGAGCCATCGCAGTCTGATGAATCCGTCCTTGAGCACAGATGGTGGGTAAGCCGCCTCTTCAGTTCAGTCGAACGGCTTGGTTTTTTAGATGCAATTGAAAATGCCAAGAGCCAAGCTCACGCCGCCAAGAGGCAACTGCAGGTTCTTTCATGCTGCACAGGCTGCTGCGCCGAAACAGAAGTCCTGAAGGCTGCCTCCTGTTCAGCGTTGCGTTGGCATCTACATATGACACATGACATTTGTTTTTTTAGCAAAGGGAATCAAATGGCAGGCAAAAGACTACTTTGGAACTACTCAGATTTAGAACCAAAGTATCAAAGAAAGTAAATGGAGAACAAAGTGGCTACACACAGCCACTTAAAAGCTATCCATGAAGTATGGCACACAGGTTCAAGATCTTGGCACGGCTTTTCCATGGCATTTCAATCGAATTGACAATTTGGCGGATTTTCAAGATTTGAAATTGAAAACTGAATTTTGAATTCAATTTTGTTGAAGTTGTTGATTCAACTGCGGGGTGGCACATGTGCACATGCCTCGAGGCATTGGAGCTTCCACATCAGATGCTGTCTGCGTCTGAATTGAGATCTGATTTCAGAAGACTGTTTTTGGACAACAGTCAGCCTGGCACATTCCAACATGTCTTTGCATCCGTTGAAGACCAGCTAGCCGGGAATCCCTGTCTTCTCCATCCAGAAAGGGCCAGCTGTGACTCATGTGATGATTCACAGCCTTCCTTGATGATCTCGGGCAGCCCGTGTGATCCATTCTCGCAGCAATCCGGAAAGAGATTTCAGCCAGGAGCTGTGAGTGGCCACAAACTCTTTAGCGTGACGATGGAAAGCATCATCGCCATGTACATAGACAAGCAGCCGCCTATAGGCCTTTTCGAACAGGTGATGGGGTTCGTGATGCCGTTTGATGCCTTCAGCACAGAAACTCCATACCAAAGGCGGGGTATCACCAGGTACAAATATGCCACATACCAGTAGTACCGCACAAGGCGGTGGCGGAAGTTTCAAAAATAGGAAACCTATAGGAGAGATTGGTTGTTATGAATCACGGATGGCAGAGCGAATCCACTGATGGACCGAAAGGTGGTTGGAGCTGTGTTTTTTTGGAGTGGTTGCAGTGGTCACCTTGTTGGTCACCTCACCCACAACTGCTGGATGTAGTGTAGTGTGGGGTAGCGCAACTGTAGCTGTAGTTGTAGTGTAGTGGAGTTGTAGTTGTGGTGTGGTGTAATTAAGTGTAGTGTAGTTGCAGTTGCATTTGCGGTCGTGTACTGAGTCTAGAGTAATATAATGTAACGTAATGTACTGTAATGTAGCGTAATGTAATGTAATCTAATGTGGGGTAGGGTAGAGTAGTGTAGCGTAATTGAGTGTAGTGTGGTGCGGTGTAGTGTAGTGTAGTGTCGCGTGGTGTAGTGTAATGCAGTTAGTGTAGTGTAGTGTAGCGCAGTGCAGTGTAGTGTGGTGTAGTGTGTAGTGTAGTGTAGTGTAGTGTAATGCAATTAGTGTAGTGTAGCTGTAGTTGTAGTGTAGTGTGGTGTTACGTAATGTATTGTAGTTGCAGTTGCAGTTGCAGTTGTAGTTATAGTTAGTGTGGTTTAGTGTAGTGTAGTGTAGCGTAGTGTAGTGTAGTGTAGTGTCGCGTGGTGTAGTGTAGTGTGGTGTAATTGAGTGTAGTGTACTGTAGTGTAGTGGAGTGTAGTGTAGCGAGGCGTAGCGTAGTGCAGTGCAGTGTAGTGTGGTGTAGTGTGTAGTGTAGTGTAGTGTAGTGTAATGCAATTAGTGTAGTGTAGCTGTAGTTGTAGTTAGTGTAATGTAGTGCAATGTAGCGTAGTGTAGTCTAATGTCAATAGTGTAGTGTAATGTAATGTAGTGTAGTGGCAGTTGCAGTTGTAGTTGTAGTGGTTTGTGTAGTGCAGTGCAGTGTAGTGGACTGTAGTGTGATTAGTGTAGTGTAGTGTAGCGTAGTGTAAATATAGTATATTTGTAGTTGTAGCTAGTGTAGTGTAGTGTAGTGTAGTGGAATGTAGTGTAGTGTAATGTAGTGTAGGGTAGTGTAGTGAGTGGAGTGTAGTGGAATGTAGCGTAGTGTAGTTGTAGTGCAGTGTACCGGAGTGTAGTGTAATGTAGTATAGTGTAGTGGAATGTAGTGTAGTGTAATGTAGTGTCGTGTAGTGTAGTGGAGTGCGGTGGAGTGTAGTGTAGTGTAGCGTAGTGTGGTGTAGTGTATTTGAGTGTAGTGTAGTGTGGTGTAGTGGTGGTTGTAGCTGACAATGCGACAAAACCCTGACGTTTTGCTCACTTTTTGGCAACGTGCAGAATCCCCTGCGCCTGCCACGCAAAACGACATCTGAAGTCAAAAAGTACTCCGAGCCCGTCAGTTTTTTACACTTTTGACTTCGATATGTGCTTCGTGCCACAACGGCGTGCACTTTTTCGACATCTCAACTTCCAAAAATGGTCCGAACCTTGTGTGTTTTTTTACACACTTTTGATTTCGAAATGTGCTTCGCGCCACAACGGCGTGCACTTTTTCGACATCTCAACTTCCAAAAGCGGTCCGAACCTTGTGTTTTTTACACACTTTGACTTCGAAATGTGCTTCGCGCCACAATGGCCAGCTGGCTCCGCACCCGCCGCTTTAGCGAGCCTACTTTTGGACCCTGCGGAACCACAAATCATTGTTGCGCACCTGCGCACCTGTATCTTCTTTCCTCTGAGACTTTCTCTTTTTTGATCTTCTTTCTTCTTCTCGTCTCTTCTCTTCTCTTCTCTTCTCTGACTCTTCCCATCTCTGCTTTTCATCTGTCCATATTGTCGGAAGTTTGACTTCTAAACTTCCTTCGGTTATTGGCATATTCCTGACACAATTTTTTAATGTAGTGTTCATTCAACTTTGGGTCATACAGTGTCCTGGTTTGATTTTTGATTGGGCTTGGAAACTGAGGTATGATAGTGTAACGCCGTAACAGGTACCAGCTGCTGCAAGACCTCAAGTTCAGGATTCAAAAGATAGGTGGGATGACAACACTGCATCCCTGGCCCCTGCATCCTGTTCAGCTGTACTGGTAGGTTTGTTGCGTTGTTCAGTACGGCCATGACGAAAGCCAACATCGTGGGCTATTACCTCACGAAGTTCGAATTGTGCGCTTCGACTTGGTTGAAGATCTCTCGGCCCAGGCTGCTGAGAGAATGATGGGATGAATTGGATGAATGGTGATTTCCACAATCAAGTTATTTTTCTGCTTGGTCAAATTGGCCATGAGGGGTCATATGTCATAGGGTGATGGATGCAGCTGATGGCTCAGTCAGGCTTTAGTGCTAATCGGATTGTAACTGATAACCAGACTAAGTGTTGACCATGAATGGGATTGCTGGAACAAACAAACACTTTACTGAAGTGTCCTGTCATGGTGTCATAGATTCACCAGGTTTAACTTTTGAGCCTTAGACTAACAGTTTGAACAACATCCGACATCCATTTGTAGCCATGCAGCGGCCTGGCGACTTCTTAAAGAAAGCCTAGAAATGGATGTGGATGATGATTCGGATTTGGAGGGTTTGCTAAGCAAAGAGATTGGTGAAGACAATCCAGTCCTTCATGCAGATCCTTGGCTTCAGAGCCTTCTTGGAGAGCAGAACAGCACCAATGACATTGACATTGGCAATGATGGCTACTCACCAGAATCACCCATCAAGACGCCTGATTTCTTGGATGCGCCTGAGATGTTTTTTCCTGAGGAAAATACATCACCCCCAGCAGCCCCTGCTAGTGATATAGACAGCAGTGTTGCTGCTGACACTGTTGACCATGGTGATGTAGAAGTGGAACTACCGAAGCCAGCACAACCTGCGCCAGTCCCTGGCAAGCCTCTGAGGGGACGCGCAGGACGCCCAAAAGGGACAACCAAGACCTTTCTTGCATGGCAAGCAGCACAAGCAAGGGAGGACATCGCAGCGGAAGGGATTGAGATTGAGAAGCGCGAGCCTGAACCAGGGTCAATTGCACATGCAGGCCAGGCCAGAAAACAGAAACTGGAGGAGAGACGCAGGCAAGAACAAACCCAGTTTGAAGCATCAAACCATGGTAGTATAGAAGCAGTAGTTGGAGATACTTCGCAGCGCTCTTTATGGGGGATGTGCTGCCATGCTTGGAGACTTAGAAGCAAAGACAAATCATGTTCAGAGAAAATTGGCGAAGTCGGTGAAGACAATGACCCTGTTGTCACGGCCTTGTTGGATGGTGCCGCTGTGTCTGCATCATGCAAAGGCGTGCAGCGTTTGATGCAACAACCATACGGCGTCAAGGATTTACTTTTCCAAGTTGGGGCTGCAATCTTTGCGTTTGGAACTTGGATGTGGGCAGTGTTTTTGTCTCACTTGCTGACAAAGTGCAGGGGAAGCAGCAGTGATGGCAGCAGCCAATGTTGGAGGGCAGTTTTGGTCATTTGCAAACTTAGGTATGATGAAACACCTTCCAAAGTTCGGGTGTCAGTGTCAGAGGCTGGTGATCACAAGATCCTTGGCAAGCATGATCCGGACGAAGCTTGTACGCATGCGAAGGTGCTTCAAGCCGAGCATGTGCAGGCAGTTCTTTTGCAGAATCATGGGGACAAGTCATTTGTTTTTTGCACCTCAAAGTTGCCGACGCACCTGTCCGCAGTGGACAGAACCACTGGGGAGAACACTCGCTCAGTCCTCTGGCAGCAAGTGGCTGCTGTCCCAGAATATCTCAGGATTTCTAGCGCCTTTGAGATGAAAGTACGCATTAGTGTGGCTGACCGATACCCTGCAAACATACGCGCGGAGCTAGGTCTGCAGCAAAGTGGATATTTAGACCACTTTGTCAATGCCTTCTTTCCTTGTGACGTGCACAAGTTGCACTCTAGCATTAAGAATGCGAGTGAGAATGCTAGTTTCGATGTCGCCGGCCTTCTAAATGCAGGGCTTTCATGCACAGATTTGGGGTCAACAAGAACACTCAGGGCCATCCTCATTTCGATCCTGGACCAAGAGTTAGAGATCATTCATTCTTGTCCCCCTGTTGAACCAGGCGGCCAATTTGATGAGTACCGACAAGGTGTTTTCGACCTTTACTTGCCACAACATGCAGGCATTCCACGTGGGAAGAAGAAGACACATGCCAAGATTCGCTTCATATTGTCATATTTCCTCAATGGTGATTTGACTTCTTCCACAATCATTCACTACTGCCCCAGAGGTTGTTGCCAGAGTGAAGCATCATGCCGGCAGAACATTGCTCATTTCCTAGCTTGGGCATTGATCCCAAAAAAACTGCCTGTCCTGAGTAGAAAGACATGGACAGGTTTTCATGACTCGCTGGCTTGGGTGGGAATTCTGGCATCCCACCACGGCCTTTTTCAACGCGTCATGGAGAAGTTCGTCGGGAAACCCACGCCAGCACTTGCTCAAGCTCCAAACGCTCCTGATGGGTCATGGCTAGATGTGATGCTTGCATTAGGACCAGGACCAGGACATGAAAGCAACAAAGCTGCCAGGGATCAGAAACATTCCAGCGCAGCAGACCAGAATCCGTTGCAGAAGGAAGCCAAATCAGAGCAGCATGATGATGAACCCGATGCTGATGAACCAGATTGGCTAAAGAAAAAGAGGCAATCCAAGCAAACTGCTCGCGATTGGGTGGCGAGCCAACCCGCGCAGAGAATCGCAGTACTCACTGACTGTGTGGAGCCCTTGTTTATTCTCATGAACAAATTCTTGAAGATGTCAGGGGCCAACTGGCGGAGGCAACAAGAGAGGTTGGCCTTTAGTTCAAAGAAGAGGACATATGCTGTAGTTGAAGCGGCTTTGGGGAAAGATGTCGCGGAATGCAAAATCCAGGCATGAAGGGGAACACAGTACAAAACAAAGATGTGATGTTTGAACTTGTGTGTTGCTGGTTTTCGCTACATTGATCATCCATTTGCCATCATGTGCCAAATTTGTTTTCATGAAGTTTTACTGTTTGAAGCTCAGAGATAGGCCTAGATTAGAACCAACTGTCGCAATTTAATTAGGTTGGTGCGCAATGATGCGCATTGATTCCCATACCCCTGTTCTACCAGGTGCTTGCGAAGCTCCAAACGGGCATGAGGGCAGTCTCGCTGCCTGAGCAAGAGGATTGCCATCTGCGGGGGCTGAGGTTCAAACTTGTTTCTTGTGGATGCTGTGCCATTGAGAGCCTCATATGGCTCTCGCGTGAGAACATGCCATACCAGCTTTTCAGAGTGCTGGATCCAACTCAAAACCAAGAAGGCGCAGAGAAGATTGCAGAGAAGATTGCAGCTTGGCCGGTGTGCATGAGAGATTGGCTATCCTCAGTCTTGCTTGACAAGTTTCCCCAACCAGACCATATCACAACTGGAGAGTGCTTGGCGATCTTGGAGTCGATTGCTGCCATGACTGATTGCGACATAGCTGAGATTGAGAGCAGGCATGCGCAAACCAGAGATTTTTGTTTGGGTCGGGCCAGAGGATGGCCGGAAAACCTGGAATCCGTTGCCTGCCGGTTTCTTTGCAGGCGACATGGAGAATCTCAGCCAATCACAAAAAACTACGTGAAGCCTAACAAAAAGAAACGTAGAGGTGGCGGAGGAGCATGGCGGGCATTTGTGCATGTAAGATGCAAAGGCCAGAAATTTGGAAGAGATGGCGCCAAAAAGCTGGCAGAGGAGTATCGCTCCCTGCCTCAGAGCGAGAAGGACAAGTTCAAAAGGATTGGGGCAGCTGGAGCCCTCAGTCACAATGCTGGATATAAATCATTTGGAGCTGCTTCTGTCCCGCTGCCACCTCTACCAGGATAGCATTGGGTCATGGTCATGTCGGGTCAGAGCCAGGTTGGTGAACCCAAGCTTTAACGAATTTATATTCAGTTCTACTGGCTTAGCCATTGTCGGAGATACGTCAAAAAACAGTTGGCCTATGTCATCTGCAAAAATCCTCCGGTGCACGCATTTTCTTGTTTGCTGTGTCATGAGCAAACAACTATGCTTTTGGAAGGGTTTCAGAGATCGTCGGTCAGTAAAATTTATTCCCCACCTGCCAGGTGAGGGTTGTTAGATTTTATCGCAGTTGTTCTCGTCCTCCTCCTCCTCCTCTTCCTCCTCCTCCGCCTCCTCGTCCTCCTCCGCCAAGCTCTTCGCCAAGCTCTCCGCCAACTCTCCGCCAACGTCCGAGCTCAGTGTGCACCGCTGGAACTCAACCTGGGACCTGCTCAGCTCAGTGTGCACCGCTGGACCTCAACCGGGGCCTGCCCAGCTCAGTGTGCACCGCTGGACCTCAACCTGGGACCTGCCCAGCTCAGTGTGCACCGCTGGACCTCAACCTGGGACCTGCCCAGCTCAGGGTGCACCGCTGCACCTCAACCTGAGACCTGCCCAGCTCAGTGTGCACCGCTGGACAACGGCCAGATAGAATGCTAGAAGACATGCCAGATAGAATGCCAGAAGATATGCCAGATAAAATGCCATGAGATATGCCAGATAGAGTCCCAGAGGATATGCCAGCTGCCAGATAGAATGTTAGAAGATATGCCAGATAGAATGCCAGATAGAATGCCAGAAGATTTGCTAGATAGAATGCCAGAAGATTTGCCAGATAAAGTGCCAGAATGTTTGCCAGATAGAATGCCAGAAGATTTGCCAGATAATATGCCAGAAGATATGCCAGATAGAGTGAAAAGATATGCCAGATAGAATGCCAGAAGATTTGCCAGATAGAATGCCAGAAGATATGCCAGATAAAGTGCCAGAATGTTTGCCAGATAGAATGCAAGAAGATATGTCAGGTAGAATGCCAGAAGATTTGCCAGTAACAAAATGTATAAATGTCATGGTGGGGATCACACGAAGTAAAGCAATTGTTTTTTTCACGTGGTTTTCAACTTCAAAGAATGGAATAGACATGGATTTCTGGTTTATTCCACCGGGTACCTAGCTTCATATCAGTTGGCCCTTTTCAGGAGACATCATTGGAGATGCAATTGTTGGACAATTGGATGACAGGGCGGTGCCCACAGTTTCTGCAGACAAGTCTGCCCTTCAACCTTTCAGTGGCGGTGATCAGTTCCGAGAAAAGTATGCAAAGTGTGTGGCTGGACATCTGCATTTGGCGAAGGTAGACAGAGAACAGCAGCAAGATTTTGATCTTGAACTGGAAAAATTCAAGTCCAATGTGTCTACAAATGCTTTCGTCCAAACATCGACAAGCTTCAGTCCGGTCGTGACTGAGAATGGGTTTTCTTTGTGTCAGCTGCCTTTGTCAGACACCACCGGTGTGCACTGGGCCCCTCCAATAGGCCAATGTGTCCAGGACATATGTTTTGTTTTCCATCTGGGGGTTGGTTCTCAGCTTCTGATACATGATTTAGCAGCTGATCAAACATAACAAACTGGGCATTTGACAGCCGTAAGAATCATTCAGGCATAAGATCATCAGCACCTCAGCAGCAAAAGCTGCTGCAGAAGAATTATGTCAAGCAGCCACCAGTCCATATGAACAAAGATATTGTGGATATTCATCAGAATTGTCATGGTTCATGGTTTCTATGTGTAGTATGATGGATTTCTTGGAAGCAGCGGTCTGAATGGTAACTTTGGGTATCCATGTTAGATAGAGATCGGTTGGATTCATCCTAACACGTTTTTGTCGTCTGTTTTGTGAAGATTCGAAGATTCAAGATTGTTACGGCTATTAAGATCCAGCCAAGAAATAATCTAAGTTTAAATCATTTTGAGCCATCTTACCTACCAAACTGTTGGACCAGTTGGAAACTGTTTGGCTTGCCGATTGAAATCAATATTCAATATTCCACGTGTTTCTACACAAAACTCTGTACTCCCTGGCCCTGGAGGATACCATTGGAAGACAGCATGCCCATGAAAAAAGGAAATTTGGACTCAAAAAACAATTGTTGGACGATTTGAGACGAAGGTCTACAGTTTTCATTCACAAGGAGCAGCCACCAATAGTTCCTTCAAAGTGCACCACCTTCCGAATCCAGGACTGCCGTCGTTTCGGAGTGTGTGTGTGCGGCGCTGACGAGAGTTCATCACCTGACACATAGCATTTTTTCAACAACTTGAAAAGCTGGATGCGCAGTGTGTTTTTCCAACGGAAGAAGGTTCCTTCACCTGCACGGAAACTTTTGGCAACTGACCGGCGGGTGTTTTTTGGCTTCACTTGCCATGCCCCTGCGCAGGGTGACCAAATTGCTGCTGATGCTTCACTTTGCCAGCTCCAAGTGGAAGAGCCAACGCATTTTGCACATGTTGGCTACACAAACTTCTCCACATTTCATTTTGCTGTGGTCAAGATGAGGTGCGTTTCGGTCAGTGCTCATGGCTGCATGTTGCTGCGTGCAGACAGGAAGGATGCTAGTGGAGCTGAAGTAGCTGGTGGTGAAGTGCACACAGACATGCACTTTATCAGAGGCTTTCTTGATTTCACCTTGCAATGGCGTGTTTCCATCTTTCTCATGTCAGAAAACCAGGTTCATTGGCCAAACTGCCCCTTTGAAGAGCATGAACTCGTGCCAGTCCTGCCTTTTCCTGATGTGCAACCTTTCCTGGTATGGAGGGGATCCGAAAAGGAACAGGAGTCCCGGAACCGTGCGGCATCTGGGAAGCAGCCAGTGTCTAGGAAAAGTAGGAAAAGGGATGAACCGGATGGTTTGGAAGGAGCCCAGTTGCTTGTGAAAAGCCAGCCTGGTCAACCTTCGAAACGTCAGAGAACACAAAACAGCATTCAGAAGGATGATGGTGATAATGTCCTGGACATTGAGGATGTTGGTGCTGCAGACAATCAAGATCCAGAACTTGATATGCTGCGTGAATTAGAAGCAGCTTATGGCTTTGACATTGACAATGAGGAAGAGGCAGAACATTATGATTCTGAAGAGGAGGCAGAAGCGCTTGCCCTTGCACAGCTTGCCCCAGATTTGGTTGAGGCTGCTGGTAGTGAGGGTGAAGGTGAACATGCACTTTCACCAAATGACGAGGAGTCTTCTGATGATTCGAGCGACAGCAGTTCCATCTCTAGTCACACTGACAAGGGCTTTCCAGGTCAGAATGCTACGCCTGCCAAGCTTGTTTCAGCTGCACCAGCAGCACCACCAATCGCTGTTTCAGAGCGTTCGGCAGGTGATCATAAGGAGCCAGAAGGTGACCAGAACCTAAAAGAAAGACAAGCCAGACAACCAACAACTCGCAACACTGGAATCTCTGAGGTGTTCAAAGTTGGTAGCCACGGGGAACTACGTTATCACCCTGTCATGAAGGTCCTGACAGCAGTTTGCAACGAGCCAGACCATGATGACTGTCGACGCAGAAGGACTGTGGTTGCCAGTGAAGGCACCCGAACAAAGACACAGAAAGGCCAGGGCCGGCCAGCTGGTCATCTAGTTGCTTGGCTGCGTTCCCAATGCAGCCATTTCTCACAATACAGCCATTGTCATGATTTCAAATGCACCCGCGCAGATCGCATTGCGGCCAGAGAATATCTGTATTCCCTTCCTGAAGGGAAAAGGTTTGCAGATGCAGTGGAACGACCCAAGCGGGCAGATGAGGAAGATGAACCAGAATCACTTTCCTAAAGGATTTGAAAAAATAGCATCTCTGCTTGGCGGTCGGGGCAAACTGCTCTTGAGGGTTGGGTTGCTAGGTGGACATGGTGAGGCTAAGTTTTAAGGCCGGAACCAAGACTGTCTGATTGGTAATTGGTAGAAATATGACTATAGTGGGTAAAGAGTCTGTAAGAGTATTTCAAACTTGCAGGATGTTTAAAGTTTGTCTGAATTACCAATGTACTCAGGCAAGCCCATCTATCTTTATATTTGGAACCATGTATGGCCTATGGGTATTCAATATATCTTCTGGTTTGATGGGTTTTTCCCCAGATGTTAGGTGGGGGTTGCTAGATTTTTCAAGAGTGGATCCCATTCTTCTTCTCCTCCTCCTCCCCCTCCTCCCAACACTTGCTGATTACCGCTTGCCGAACTGGGCCTGTATTCGAACAGTTGCGGGACGCGCTGGAGTGGGCCTGGACCCGAACAGTTGCTGAACGCGCTGGAGTGGGGGTGGACCCACAAGTTTGCCGGACTCGCTGGAGTGGGGTTGGAGCCGACCGGTTGCCGAACTCACTGGTATGTTGGATAGAATGCCAAATAAGATGTCAGAAAATCTTTCAGATATATTGCCAGAGCAGATGTCAGATAGAATGTCCGTTTAGAATGGTTTATCAGATGTCAGATAGAGTGTCAGACAGAATGTCACAAGTTTTGCCGGATAGAATGCTAGAAAAGATGCTAGGAAATCTGTCAAATAGAATGCCAGATCAGATGTCGCCTCAAATGACAGATAGAATGCCAGATAAGATGTCACAAAGAATGTGAGACGGACTGTCAAAAGATATGTCAGATAGAATGGCATAGAAGAGGTCAGGAAGAATGTCCGATAATATGCCAGACAAGATGCCAGAAAGATTCTCAGAAGATTTGCCAGATAGAATGTCAGAAGGATATGCCAGATAGGTGTCAGAAAGATGTCAAAGAATATGTCAAAGAATGTATCACACAGAATGCCAGATAGAATGCCAGATAGGATGTCAGATGGTATGCCAGATAAAGGTCAGAAGATATGTCAGATGATACGCCGAAAAAAATGCCAGATAGAACCTCAGGCTGATATACCAAGTAGAATGCCAGCAGGAAGAGGAGAAGAGGACCTTTGGTTCCTAAATTTCATCAGAGTTGTCCTCTCCTGCTCTTCCCTGCCAGAAAGTTTTGTCAGAAAGAAAATCAGAATAT